TGTAAGCAGCCAGTAAATGGATGGATTTGTCGTGAATAAGCCTAGCCAGTATAATACGTATTGAATAGGATGGTATAAAAATCCTAAATGATGAACATAGAGCACAGGTAAAATATCTTATTTTTTTTTTCATTTTTTATTATATTTTTGACAATCTTTACATAGTTAATTAGGGTAAAAAATGGTTCAAGGGCTATAGGAAAGTGGGTAAGAGTATTATTTCCATACTGTTTCCTTCATGTATCTGAGGTAAAGGGGGATATTGGGGGAGAAGCCCCACCAGTTTCCCACCCACCCCAGGTCCCAGATCTGGGGCATGCTCTGAGATACTTGCTCAGGTGGTTTTGATAGTTGACCAGTTATGAATCGCTGCCAATCTCGCCACTCCAAGCACAATGAGATCGTTGAAGAATCCACTGATTGACAGGCTTTCCCTCTGAAACAGGGGTGTCCTAACCAGCATCTTAACTGCTCAGCCTAACAACAATTTCTACTCTCATATTTTTAAAGATTCCATTTATTTTATTTGAAGGATTTATATATAGAGAGCACATGCATCTGCTGGTTCATGCCCCCAGTGTTCAAATTCTGGTCAGGACTAGGCTGCAGCCAGGAGCATCGGATTCAGTTCAGGTCTCCCATGGGATGGCAGGGACCTTGCATATGCATTCCAGGGTCCACACTGGCTGGAAGTGAATGCAATTAGGACTCAAACCCAGACGTTTGGATGTGGGATGCAGGCATCCCAAGCTCTGTTAAGTTCCAGGTACACAGAGAAATGTGGCAAACAATACCAGTAAATGATAACAATGGATGCAATTGAATAAAGTTATTGTGAGGTTGCAAAGGTAGAAGTGAGAGCACAAGTAGAGTGCCTTTACTATACCAAGTAGAGTAAGGTATTCTACTTGTTATATGGAAATAGAAAGCTTTCCTTCAGGGCCAGAAGTTTTACATAATAGACTGACAGGCTATTATTGGCTATTATTATTATTGGCTCTCTCTGTGTATGTTTATACTTTGCTTCCCAAATCTTCTCTCTTGAGAGCTGAGAACTGTTTTTAATCAAGAATATGAGGTTATGTTTTGAGAGATTTAGCTTGGTTTTTGGATCAGGGCAGGTAAGGCACAATAATGTCTTGAGGAAGCAAAAGAATAAAGAGGAAGAGAAACACCCAGGGCGTGGTGGTAAAAATGAACATTGGTGGTGGAGGGGAAAGCTGTGGCAACTACCCATATGGGCTGGCTGGGTGAATCTGCTGGAGGTTAGGAAAGAAAAACTGGGCAGTACTCCCTGAAGATGAACATGGCGGATGGCCTGGTTCTTTTCACCTAACCATGGTGAAGGGCACTGTATAAGGGGAGTCTGTGTAGGTGGAGTCCCAAGATGTAGAAATGGGGGACCAAATGGATACAGCATCACCAGGTCTGTAAGTAGAAAGACCCTTAGCCTCCAGTGAGTCCTGATTGCTGCTCACCAGTATGTGACCTTAAGCATGTAATTGTCTCGTGCAAGATCAGGGGCCCCTAGAATGCAGACGACTAGGGCAGACTAACACACACCATCCCACAGCCTGTTCTAACAGTTCTCTGCTGTAGCTTCTTTGATCACCAACTGATCAAATACCTACTTACCTCATTCTCTAGTGCCCAGGAAACCTTGCTGATGAGCGGGCTTTCCCTTTTGGTCTCATAAACATAATTTTTCAAATTAACCATCTCACTTGAAATAAAAGCCTTTCAGATGTGTGCTGTCAGCTATGTCTTCTATTCCCTCTTTGGGTTTGCCTTCTAGCAGGTCTTTTCAGAAAGTATTGTGGTGCTTTATTTTATTATTTTTTTTTTTCTGGCCCTCTGTGCAGATAGTGGGCTGGGCCATGCCAAAATCAGGAGCCTAGAACTCCATCTGGGTCTCCCATGTGCATGGTAGGGGGCCCAAGTACTTGAAACCATCTCCAGCTGCCCTCCCCAGCACATCAGCAGGGAGCTGAATTGGAAATGGAGCAGCTAAGACTTCAACCAGTGCTTATATGGGATGCTGGCACCTCATGCCAGTGGTTTAATGTGGTGGTCCCAACACCTCTCCGTTCTTGTTCCCAAAGGTCTGTGGAGAACACTTTGAAACCTTTTTTTGTCAACCCCACCACCGCTTGGATGCCCACAGCTCTGCATGCACATCTGAGTTAATTGCCTGGATCCAAATCCTGCCTCAACTGCAGACCTGGCTTTCTGCTTTTGTGTACCCTGGACATGATGGAGGTGGCAGTGGTGATGTTTCATATACTTGAGTCCCTGCCACTCAAGTGTGACACCTGGATGGATTTCCAAGCTCCTGGCTTTGGCCTGGCTCAGTCCTGGCAGTTGCAGGCTGTTAGGAGAATGAGGCAGTAGGTGGAAGTTCTCTGTCTCTTTGATCCTGCATCTTTGCCTTCCAAAAGGAAGAACACAAATTTTAACAATTTTAGGTTTACATCATTTAAAGCAACAATAACAACAAAACCTCATTGATAAACAAAAGTTGGCAAAACCATTGAAAACATGAATTCTGGAACTAGACCACCTTCCCTGGGCCTGAAACATTTTTCCTCACTTCCTAGCTGTGGGGGGCTGGGGCCAATTACCTCCTTTTCTGTATGTTCCCCAGTTTTCTACACCCTACGGTAATTGCTATAATTAAATGTATAATTAAAAGTCTATAAGAACAGTCCCTGGCACCGATAGGACTGCAAGGATGTGCCACTTAGCCTTGGACTGTTACTCTGTACTGCGTAATGCTGAGCTTTTAGGCCTCCATGGATCCAACAGGGATGTGAGACTTGCTTGCTGGGGAAGGGGACTGGTTTCACCGTGGAAGCAGACAGGTTGTTGGTGAGTGGTAGGCACCAGGATTGACAGACAAATGTGGGACCAGCTCCTGAGTGCCGAAAGTAAAGGGTACACCTGCCCTTTGCAGGCTTTTAATACCAGCTATTAGAAGTTTTCAAAATAAAATAATTTTTTTCCTGGGGACTTACTTATTCAAAAGGCAGAGAGAGACAGAGATCTCTTCATCAATTCATTCCCCAGATGGCCACAACAGGGCTGGGCCAGGAGAAGAAGCCAGGAGCCTAAAACTTCATCTTTGTTTTATCGGGGTGGCAGGAGCCCAGGCACTTTGGCTGTCCTCCACTGCTTTCTCAGGGACATTAGTAGACAGCTGGCTTAAAGGGGAGTAGCAGCAGCTGGTATTGTGGCACAGTGCAGTGTTGACAACCTATTATGGGCACCAGTCTGGCTGTTCCACTTCTGACCTATCTGTATGCTAATGTGCCAAGGAAAGCAATGGAAAGTGGCCCCCAATACATGAGCCATGCCACCCATGTGGGGGACTCAGGTGAGCTCCTGGCTTCAGCCTGGTAACACCCAAGGCATTATGGCCAGTTGGGAAGTAATCAGAAGATTGATCTGCCTAATTTGGCCTTTCAAGTAAAAAAAAAAAAATTAAGATTTACTTATTTTTATTGGAACATCAGATTTACAGAGAGGAGAGACAGAAAGATCTTCCATCTGCTGGTTCACTCCCTAAGTAGCCACAATGGCCAGAGGTGACCTGATCTGAAGCCAGGAGCCAAGAGCTTCCTCTGGGTCTCCCATGTGGGTACAGGGTCTCAAGTTCTTGTGCCATCCTCAACTGCTTTCCCAGGCCACAAGCAGGGAGCTGGATGGGAAGTGGATTCCATATGGTATCCTGGTGCCTCTTGGTGCATGCAAGGCAAGTGTCGCTGTCCTGCAGCGATGGACTTTGTGCACAGTGAGCCAATAATAACACGCATGGACCCTGACTGATGGCATCAGACTATGCACTGAGGGTCATATGGGATAAGGGAGGAAGTATTGAGCTTATCAACAAAACCCATCAATTGTTTCTATACTTTTGTTTGGATCTCCTTTTGTTTTGTATACTCTAAAAGTGTTCTCATTCACATACAGTCCACTCAACTGTTCTCATATAAATGATATCCAATCAGTTATACAAAAGGTATCCATTCGGTTGTTATTATACAGATATTGTCCAATCAACTATAATCCTATGCTAGCTGACGTTCCGGGATCACAAGTCCTCCTACAGGCAAGGACTTTCGCCACTAGGCCACCATGCTGTGCCCTCAAATAAAAAAAGTTTTAAATCTGTAAGAAAAAAGAAAAAAAGAGTAAGGGACTCAAACTGGCACGTTGATGCCGATGACAGTGTTGAAGTGGCAGTTTAACTAGTTGTATCACAACAGGCCCCCCTCAATTGCTTTTTTAAAAGGGGCACACTAATTGCAGATATTTACAACTTGCAGTATAATTTGATGCTTAGATAACAGATAATGATCAAAGCAGAATAATTAGCATTTATTGCTCCTTAAACATCAGTGGTGATGGAGTTTCTAGTCCCCATGCTGCCAATTCTTTATAAAATACGATGATAAACTGCTTTCCTACAGGTAAAATTTGAAGTGGTCAAATTGGCCACTTCCCTCCGTCTGGAAAGGAAGCTGGGACGGAGAGAAGGGTTGAGAATTTCTTCTTTCCAGAGACTTGCATCCGTTTGAGAGTTATGCAGTCCTTTATGGTGTAGGATCCTGGAGTTGGGCGCCCCCAGGGACCCGGTGCCCACCCAGCAAGACCAGAAAGACGGGTGAAAGGAGAGCGTACATCAGGAGCTTCCGGCTCTGTGTCTCTTCCATGTTTTCACTGTACTGCAAGGTGCTGGCAGCCCGACAATCTTCCGTGTTCCTGTCAGTGTGGGTTTTTCCCGGCAGGCCTCTCCTTCACGCCCCCGCCAGCCAACTTCACTTAAGCTGGGCTCCAGTCCTCCCTTTGGCGTAAACTCCGGGACCAGGTAGAGAATGCCAGAGTTGTCCTTGCGCCTGCGCAGAAGCTGGGGGCTAGGCCCCGGGCCCGTCCGGCCCCCAGGACTGAGCTGTCAGTGCGCCTGCGCGGGGGCCAATAAAAGGGCATGCTGCGAGATCTGGCCGCCGACTTGTTCCGTCAGTGCGCCTGCGTGTGCTTCGCGTGCCGCGGTTCTTGACTGTGCTGAGGCGGGCTCCGGGTGTAGCCATGCAGACAGCCGAGTGTGAGCAGCGCTCTAAGCGACCCCGAAGCGATGGAAGCCCAAGAACCCCACCGAACTCTCCCTCAAGGGCACACTGGACCGTGGGCCCAGAATTGCACGCGGACCACCAGACGTGGAACGCGGAGCAGGTGTGCTGCTTCTTAGAGCAGAATGGCTTCAACCAGCCCTCACTGCTGAAAAACTTCCGAGGTACCGGGCCAGAGCGGCACAGTGGGGGAGGACGGGGGCTCGAGGCGGGGGTCGTGGGGTCTGAGGAGAAGCGCCCTGCGGCGGGGAGCTCCCAGGAGAACCTGACACCGAAGCGCCAGGGCTGATGCGGGGCCACCCGGCAGGGCAAGCACCAGGCACGGGAGACTTCAGCCAGGGGTTCCCGAGGCTGAGGTAGAAGAAATGGGGGAATCTGGGATTGGCGATGTGCAGGCTCTGCGAGGGCCGAGGGTGTAGATTGAGGTCTTAACCTGGTGACTTAATCAGGTACCTGGCCAGCCCGGACCGGATCTGGGTGATGGTGCTGGGGTGGACTTGAGACCCCACCTTTGTAACTGAGAAGAATGCTTTGTTTATTCCAGATCTTGGTCGGAAACCTGCTGTCATTCAGGCTCCCCAGGCTCTGGGGACCCCTGTGTGTAACCGCAGATCTTGAACTCTTGCCACATGAAAGTAAAGTTTTGGGCTTCCCAACCTCCTGCCCCGCCCTCAGGAAATTGGGGTTTTCCTTAACGAGGAGGGGATTTGTTCATCTCTGAATTCCTACAGCCCACCACGGTGTCTTAGTGGAGCTTAAGTGTTTGTTGACTGTGTTTATCAAGCTTGGGGACAAAGTGCTGTTGTGATAACCCCAAAACTGGTAGTAGCAGTTACAATGGAACCCCAGAACTGAGTCCTCCCACCTGGCACAAAGTAAGTCCAGCATTGATAGGGGTGAAAAAAGTAGCTATTTATTGCCATGCAGGGAGCAGGGCTCTGGACAGCGATTGCTCAATTCCTGGATTACCAAGGCAGTCCAAGTCCTACAGTCCAAAGTTGGCCATGAGCAGCAGGTTGTCAGCTGGTGTGTGGATCTCTGGTTGACCCCCAGCATGTGTCGGCCTTTGATTGGTTGATGATAGGGCCCCTACGTGTTTAAAAGAAAGGTTCGGAGCTGTCAGACCCGGGGAGATGGGATGGGCTGTTTCTCTTTGAGGCTGGAAGCTCAATGCAGTGACTGGATTTCCAGGGCTGCCAGGTGCTGCCTTTGTGAGTCCTTGCCAAAGCTCTCAGAATGGGGAGGTCAGTGTTGAGATGTAGTTAAACCATGTTCAAGCAGGAACCTGGGGTTACTCCCTTGGCTTGCAGAGTTGAGCTTTCAGAGGCATTGCAAGCTAAGGAGATGCTGTTGGGACTTATAAAAAGGCTACAGGGGATGGGACCTGGTCACAAAAGAACCACTGTGTCCTCTATGGGCCACCTGCCACTGGGAAATACTGCAGCAGAGGGTCGCAGGCAATTTTCTTGGTGTATGTTCAAGTGTGTCCACCTGAAATCTCCTGTGAGCTGCTGCTGGGGGAGTTTGTGATTTGCGAATTTAGTAAAATTTTGCCCTTGTGAGCGGAGTCTGGAAACTAGGGTAGGAGGAACTTGGGTGACTCTGGACCAAGTGTGGGAAATTGCACTTCTCTTGCTCCTTTGCCCTGTTACATCCATCCTCTCCAAGGATGGATTTTTTTCTTCCTTTCACCAGCGGCAGGTGGGATGCACTGATTTCATCTTTTCTGTTTTCAGTTTCCAGCATGGGATCGGCTACATTGTAGGCCCTCTCTTCGTGACACTCTGTAGGGCTGGCTTCATCACTTTCCAGAATGATCTGTGCTCTCTTGAACCCATAGTTTAGTGCCATCAGAAGACACTGCCTGCCTTCATTGAGTGAAAACTGTATGTTTCATTTGCTTTGTCTGGACCAAACTTAGGTCGGGCTTGGTTGTTTTCTTACTAGCCCTTGAACTAGATCTAGCTTACTCTTGAATCTGCGAGCACTGGCAGAGTAGAACATGCCTTGGCCAGCTTCTCCTGCAGCCAGTTGACCACAGCTCTTAGACTTCACTGTTGGCTTCCATCTTCCTCTCCAGAAAGTCAGCTTATCTCTGCTGACCTTTACCCTGCAAAAGAAAAAAAAAATCTGAGTGATTTCTGAGGTTGCTGCTTTCTAATGAAAGTCTCTGGGTCAGACATTTTGTTTTGACAAAAGCAGCCACAGGGTCCTTGGTTGCTTTCTTCCCTAAGGAGTGCAGTCTCGCAGGAACACAGAAATAGGGTGTAGAATCCACACTTTGTGCACAAGAAGTATGTAACGCCCACGGGTCATGCCACACCACAAGGATCTTTTTTTTTTTTTTAAAGATTTATTTATTTATTGGAAAGTCAGATATACAGAGAGGAGGAGAGACAGAGAGGAAGATCTTCCGTCCGATGATTCACTAATCAAGTTGGCCCACAATGGCTGGAGCTAAGCCAATCTGAAGCCAGGATCCAGGAACTTCTTCCGGGTCTCCCACACAGGTGCAGGATCCCAAGGCTTTGGGCCATCCTCCGACTGCTTTCCCAGGCCACAAGCAGGGAGCTGGATGGGAAGTGGAACTGGCGGGGTTAGAACCGGCGCCCATATGGGATCCCGTCAGGTTCAAGGAGAGGACTTTAGCCGCTAGGCCACGCTGCCGGGCCCCAAGGATCTTTTTTTTTTTTTAAAGATTTATTTTATTTTTATTAGAAAGTCAGATATACAGAGAGGAGAAACGGAGAGGAAGATCCTTAATCCCTTGGTTCCCCAAGTGGCCGCAACAGCCAGAGCTGAGCTGATCTGAAGCCAGGAGTCAGGATTCTCTCCCAGGTCTCCCACATGGGTATAGGGTCCCAAGACTTTGGGCCATCCTCTACTGCCCTCCCAGGTCACAAGAAGGGAGCTGGATGGGAAGTGGGACAGTTGGGACTAGAACCAATGCCCACATGGGATCCTAGCACATGCAAAATGAGGACTCTAGCTTCTAGGCTACTGCACTGGGCCCTGGAGAAGGGTTTTTTTTTTTTTTTTAGTGGTTAGGTATTTGGGTTTCAGAACTCATGTCAGATAATTTCTTCACAAGTGTTCTCATCAGGAACCATTAGGTAACATAAAGCTAGAAAAACAACCGAAACCAAGAGAAAAAGCTAACATAATAGAAAACTGAGCAAAATCCAAGCATAGGGGTCTGGCATAGTGAGTTAAGCCTGGGACACTGGGAGAAGCGGCAGAACGTGAACCAAGAGTCAGGGACCTGGATGAAGCTTCTGCCTCCTGGCTTCAGCCTGGCCCAGCCCTGGCATTGTGATGGGGAGTGAAGCAGCAGGTGGAAGATTCTCCCTCTCTGGAACTCTGATTTTCAAAATAAATGAACAAATCTTTATACATAACATACATATACGTAAGTATGTATGGTACTTATCTATATTTAAGTACAGACTTTCAATAATCAACCAGCAAATAAACTTATCAAAAGATAATCAATTGCGGTCAAATGCAATGGTTCAATTGGCTAATCTTCCCCTGGCAAAAAGAGATACTCAATTTCAACAATAATTTTAAAACCACCATTTTTTAAATTTAGATTGGAAAATATTTTAAGAAATAAGTGAAATGGGTAATCGAATGAAATGTCAGCTCAAAGGTAGAACTTTGGCAAAAACTTTTTTGACTAACAGAATTGTACAGATACAAGTGGATCACTATCTAAACAGTTTTCAGATGACTCTTTTTTTTTAAGATTTATTTTTATTGGAATGTCAGATATACAGAGAGGAGAGACAGAGAGGAAGATCTTCCATCCAATGATTCACTCCCCAAGTGAGCGCAACGGCTGATGCTATGCTGGTCCAAAGCCAGGAGCCTCTTCCGGGTCTCCCACGCGGGTGCAGGGTCCCAAAGTTTTGGGCCGTCCTCGACTGCTTTCCCAGGCCACAGGCAGGGAGTTGGAAGGGAAGCGGGGCTGCCGGGATTAGAACCGGCGCCCATATGGGATCCCGGGCGTGCAAGGCGAGGACCTTAACCACTTGCGCCACCACGCCGGGCCCTCAGAGGGAGTAGAAATGACCTGACCTAAATGTCCAACTGTGACATAGGTTCAATTACATATGTATTTTAAAGGTAAAAAGAATATGACTATGAAAAAGTATTGAAAAATATTGTGCAACTATCCTGTAAATAAAAAATAAGCTTTAAAAACAACAACAAAAAAAGTTGGCCCTAGCGCATAAAGTCCTCACCTTGCGATCACCGGGATCCCAGTTCTCATCTCAGCAGCCCTGCTTCCCATTCACCTTCTTGCTTGTGGCCTGGAAAAGCAGTCGAGGATGGCCCAAAGCCTTGGGACCTGCACCCACGTGGGAGACATAGGGGAGGCTCTGGGCTCCTGACTTTGGATTGGCACAGCTCCAGCTGCTGCAGCCACTTGGGCAGTGAGTCAATGGACACAAGATCTTCCTCTCTGTCTCTCTCTCTGTATATCTGACTTTCCAATAAAAATAAAATAAAGCTTTAAAAAAATAGTTTTTTTTCTGTTGATCAATATTTACTTGTTTATTTGAAAGGCAGAGCACCAGAGAGAGAGGGAGAGGCCACAAGAGAGCAGCATCCATCTGCTGATTTATTCCCAAAATGGCCTCGGCAGCCAGATTTGGACCAGGCTAACACCAGCACTTTTATTCTGGTCTCCCACTTGAGTGGCAGGGGCCAAGGTACTTAGGCCATCCTCTGCTGCCCTCCCCAGTACGCTAGCAGGAAGCTGGACTGGAACGGAAGTAGGGAAGACCATTATGATGCCAGTGGCATCTAAACATGTTGGCGGGTAAACAGGTTGCACTACAACATTAGCCCCAAAATGCAGTTTAAATATTGTCAACATAATTGTTTCTGACAATGGATGGAAAAAAATAGATTATAAACCAACATATTCTCATTTGTGTGAAATTATGTAAATATACAGATTAAGGTGTTATCCACATGTTAGTGGTGTTTCTGATGGGAGAATGCATGTAAGTTGGTATTTTTCACTTTGGAGTTTTGATTTTTTAAGTTTTTTTAAATTTTTATTGGAATGTCAGATATACAGAGAGGAGGAGAGACAGAGAGGAAGATCTTGTGTCCCATGATTCACTCCCCAAGTGGCCGCAATGAGTGGAGTTTTGCTGATCTGAAGCCAGGAGTCAGGAACTTCTTCTGGGTCTACCATGTGGGCACTTTCCCAGGCCACAAGCAGGGAGCTGGATGAGAAGTGAAGCAGCCGGGATTAGAACTGGCGCCCATAAGGGATCCCAGTGCATGCACGGGGAGAGCTTTAGCCGCCAGGCCACCACGCTGGGCCCCCAAATGCATAAAACGTTTTTGAAGCAGTATTGTGTGCTCTGTTAAGGAGATTTTAGAAATAAACATAGTTGGTAATGCTAAAAAAAAAAATAGACTTAAGTTCCTTCCCTACCCCCATTCCAAACTCAGCCTTTCTAAATGAGCAGGAAGCCACTGCCCCGGTGAAACTCTGCACATACTTGTTTCACTTCACTTTTTCTGCTGGCTTTTCTTGCAAGAAATTTTACACAGATAATTTAAAATAGTTTCACCTAGTTTGTCGCAACAGGCTTGCCTGGGCTTAGTGACATCTTTAGCATTAAGACTTTGCAAGTAGCAAATCAAACAATGGCCGGCATTTCTCTCAGTATCCCTGAGCATTGGTTCCAAGGGCTGTCACAAAATCTGAGTAGAAGTCCCTTTTAGTGAAATGGTGTAGAATTTGCAAGAAACAGAGCATAACCTGCCGCATGTGTTCAAGCATGCCTCGACTGCAGTGTGACTGCCGTGTGAGGATCTGTTATCCCGCACTGGGCGTACTGACCGGGTGAAGCCTGTGCTGGTTCAGTACAGAAGCAGGTCTCTCCCCTAAGGATGTCCTCCATTCACATTTGGCTGAATCCACAGATGTCAAACCATAGACTTGGAAGCCAGGGTTATGAAGAGCAGTCTGTGCTTGCCCTGGTCCATTGCCTGGGGATTTGAGTCCTTTATAATGTTGATCTGAGGAGTAATTCTGGTAGATCTAAATTGGAAGACATAAAACCTATGTTGTAAAGATTAAATTTGTTTTTCTTCCCCTCCCCTTTCTTCCTCAGACAATAATATCACAGGTTCATTACTGCATTTTCTTGATGAAACTCTGCTTGAAAATCTTGGAGTAAGGTAAGAATGGCTATTGGCTTTACAAATCCCTCTTTCTTTACTTTTGAGGGACAGAGACCAAGATCTAGCATTAACTGTCCTTGCTTTAAATCTGTGAAGTGTTTGAAAATAATCCCCAGCTTGCTGTTTCCTGCTATGCAAATCCTATGTTTGCTATTATATTGTATAATTATGCTGACAAGCCTTCGCAACATTTAAAGAGACCAACTTTGAAGTCTCAAGCTCAGAACAGTTGAATGAGACACACCAGAAAATATTATCAGAATCATCATAGGGCAAAAAATGTTGGCAAGAAATCAGAGGCTCCAGCTCTAGCTTGAGCATATTTCTAAATCTTTCTAAAGCTGTTTTAAGATGGGAATGTATTGTTGGTATTTGATTCAAAGATAGAAGGGCAAAATTATTTGGAATGTTTTAGTTGTATGATTTAGACAAATTGCTTAATCCTTTAGTTTTTTCATCTGTGGAAGGATGATAATGAGACAGTAAGTGTGAAGTGTTGCTTAGCCCTCAATAAATTGCAAGTGCACACACAGCGTCATGTAGAGAATTCTGTGTACTTGGAGGTTCTAGGGTCTAGGTTAGAGTGCAGTCACTTTAAAAATCCCAACTGAGAATTTGGTGTTAGTATTCCTTCCAGTGGAGATTTGGCTTCTGTTAGGGAGTTAGTGGTGAAATATGTTCTCCTTTTGGAATTCATTTAGTTAAGTGTTGTTTGTGGTAACAGTAACCAAAGAATTGCAACAAGGGATTACACTGAATTAGCTCCTGTTTTGCTGCTTGGTAATTGATAACAGAGGGGGACTATGAAGAAAGATGACCTTTCAGTGAGCTTCAGCAACCTTATCCTGGCTCTTTCACAGCCACATTCCAGCCCCTCAGTCCTCTCAAAGTCCCTTTTACTGCCTCTTGTTTGTGGGTGGGAGTGCTTTGAAACAGGGAGTGGAGACAAATCCAAAAAGGAGAAGGCATGGGGGGATTTGGAGCAATCCAGCAGCAGCCTGTGAACACCTGTGTCCTGTGTCATATCTTCCCAGGTCCCAGTGCTGGCTCCACCACTACACCCCAAGAGGGAGCAGGGGGTGACTCAGAATACCTGGCTCAGCTGTGCTGTGAGCCTTTGACATGTGAATGGAAGATCTTTATAATCTCTGCTTTTTGTTCTCTCTCTCTTTCAAGTTAACCAAAAGAAAAGGAAAAAAAAAGAATTTTATGTGGAAAAAATTTTAAAATCTATGCACATTTTTTTTTCATGCAATTTTAAAGACCTCTATACATGATTGCTTGCTTTTTGGACTAAATGAAATTTATTCTAAATGGAGTCTTTTCAAGGGAGCCGAGTACTACCTGATGGACCCAAATACTATTGATTCATTCAATAAGAACTTGTGAAAGGTTCCTTGTGTGCCATTCCTCCAGAAATTTGGGACATGTGTAAGCAAAGCTGCCAGAATGCCTGAGGACATTGTATGGCATGACTTCTCGCCCCCCTTGTGCCTCGCAGATACACACTTTGTATTTCTTAGACCTGTGTTGTCCTGTATGGCAGTGACTAGCCACATGCTTAAATTCATTGAACTTAGCCTAAGCTTAAAATGCAAAGCCCTGCTGACATTAGTACTTGAGACCTTAGAGGGCTGGAGACTTGCAGTTGCATGGACCGTGTTTCTATCCGTGTAAGCCGAGTTAGGAGGCCAGTGGGATCTACCCAGTGGGCCCCTCGAGGCAGCTTGTAAGTGTGCTCTTGTACTGCTTCACTGTCAATTCCTGTCGACCAGTACAAGCCCCCATGACATGTCTTCACTCTCTAGGACAAATTAAGCAACGATAGATACTTTTGTATTTCTTCAGTATAACCTATTGCCTTATAAAGATTTTCCTAGGAAATAGGAAATGAAATGTTAGATTTCAAAAATGTGAGAATACAGACATAAAATTTTATTTTAGTCTACATGTATTGGCCAATGACTACTTCATCTTTAATGTCATTAGCCTTTGCTAAACAAAAGTAGGTGGGGGGGCCCGGCGCGGTGGCGCAAGTGGTTAAAGGTCCTCGCCTTGCACCCCCGGGATCCCATATGGGCGCCGGTTCTAATCCCGGCAGCCCCGCTTCCCTTCCAGCTCCCTGCTTGTGGCCTGGGAAAGCAGTCGAGGACGGCCCAAAGCTTTGGGAACCTGCACCCGTGTGGGAGACCCGGAAGAGGCTCCTGGCTTCGGATCGGCATAGTATCGGCCCGTTGCGCTCACTTGGGGAGTGAATCATCGGACGGAAGATCTTCCTCTCTGTCTCTCCTCTCTGTATATCCGCCTTTCCAATGAAAAAATAATAAAAATAAATCTTTAAAAAAAAAAAAAAAAAGTAGGTGGGGGAGGGAACATGGGTTTGGTGCCTTTTTTTTTTTAAGATTTATTTTATTTTTATTGGAAAGTCAGATATACAGAGAGGAGGAGGGACAAAGAGGAAGATCTTTTGTCTATTGATTCACTCCCCAGGCTACCACAACACTGGAGCTGAGCTGTTCTGAAGCCAGAATCCTGGCACCTCTTCCGGGTCTCCCATGTGGGTGCAGGGTCCCAAGGCTTTGGACCATCCTGGACTGCTTTCCCAGGCCATAAGCAGGGAGCTGGATGGGAAGTGGGGCCAGTGGAACTAGAATGGGTGCCCATATGGGATCCCAACACTTTCAAGGCGAGGACTTATCCGCTGGGCTATTGCGCCAGGCCCATACTTTACAGAGAGCAACAGCTCTACCAAGTGCTCAGAACAGCTGAAACTGGGCCAAAACCAGCCTTCCTACAGGGTGGCAGCAGCCTAACCTGATTTGCACATAACCTAATTTTCCAGGGTTGTGCTAGAAGAAAGCTGCTCTCTAGGCCTGAGCTACCTTTACTGGTGTCCCAGCCACCAAACACTGACTCTGGTCACTGCTATTATTATTATTATTATTAAAGATTTATTTATTCATGTGGAAGAATTAGGGCAAGGGAGAAACATCTTTATGTTTTCTTATGACCATCGTCCTAGAGGCCAGGTGTGGTGTTTCGTTTTTGTTGTTTTTTCCCCATTTTGTTTGAAAGGAAGAGAAAGATCTTCTATCTACTGGTTCTCTCCTCAAATGACTGCAACAGCAAGGTCTGGGCCAGGCAAGAGCGAGCAGCCTGGGAATCTCTCCAGGGCTCCCACATGAATGGCAGGGGCCCGAGTATGTGAGCCATCATTTGCTATTTTCCTAAGGTGTGTGTCAGCTAGAGGCTGGACCAGAAGCTGTGTAACTAGGGCTGACAGCACGTGCTGCCATATGGAACGTTTCTGTCCTAGGCTGTGGCTGCATCACTCTGCCTAAGGCCTGTCCTCAATTTGATGCTTTGGCCTTAGTCTTTGCAGGACTTGTATCAAAATTTTTACTTGTTTCCCATGTCTAATTGTCTAGTAGATCACTAAAATCTAACTTATCTCTTCCTCACTGTTTGTTGACACTTGGCCAGGTGTAACAACTGTAAATGAAGCAGGACAGGATCTTGAGCTGTTCAAGTTTAATTCCTACGAAATTTCTTCTCGGAATCAGTGTGAGCAGGGATTACTGACATTGGAAGACTGCTGTACATTAGGCTCACAGCCTTGTGTCGGTTTGATTGCTGCCGAGTCTTAGCTGGTGCTCCTGCCAAGCCCAGGCTGTCAGGATGCTGGTGGACCTAGCTGTGAGGCCCGCCCTGAGTAGTCAGAAAAGCTGCAGGAGACGCCGAGGTGCGGGTGACAGAGGGGAGAGGCTGGCGGGCAGAACCTTCCGTGAGATCCAGCGGCAGCAGAGTGTCTAGGAGGAGCAGGTTTCAATTATTGACCATCTCTCCAGTCTGCCCTCTCTGTTAGTGTGGCTAATCTAGGGTTGGTGGTGCAGCATTATTTACTCCAGGGGTTGTTGTTAAGCAAACAGTGATGCCTCTCCTTACCTTGTCATTTTAGTTCTTTGATCCAGAGGAAGATGCTGCTTAATTTTATCCAACGACTGAGTGTAATTTATGTTGATACAATGAAGGTAAGAAGAAATTGAGTTCGACAGACTTTTAGCACAGGAATTTATTAAACTCAATAACATAAAAATTGTTTTAAAAAGAATGGGGGCCCGGCGCAGTGGCACAGTGGTTAGGGTCCTCCCTTTGCATGCCCGGGATCCCATATGGGTGCTGGTTCTAATCCCGGCAGCTCCACTTTCCATCCAGCTCCCTGCCTGTGGCCTGGGAGAGCAGTCGAGGACAGCCCAAAACTTTGGGACCCTGCACCCACTTGGGAGACCCGGAAGAGGCTCCTGGCTTCGAATCGGCATAGCGTCGGCCATTGCACTCACTTGGGGAGTGGGTTGTCGGGCAGAGGATCTTCCTCTCTGTCTCTCCTCTCTGTATATCCGCCTTTCCAATAAAAATGAGGTAAATCTTTAAAAAAAAAAAAAAAAAGAATGGAAGACAGGTGGTAGCATTGTAGTACAGCAGGTTAAGCCATGCTTCCTGTCTCAACATCCCATACTGGAGTATAGGTTTGAGTCCTACCTGCTCCACCTGTGATCTACCTGGCCAAATACTTGGGTTCCTGCCATCCTCGTAGAAGATCAGGATGGAGTTCTAGGTTCCTGGCTTTGGACTGGCCCCGTCCTTCCTGGCTGTTGATGCAGGTTGGGAAGTGATCCAAATCATGGAAGATATTCTCTCTTCCTCTCACTCTGTCTTGCTTTCTCTCTTTTCACCTTTCAATTAAACATCTTAAAGAATAAAAGGGTGGACTAGCTTTGTGGTGTAGTGAGTTAAGTTGCCCCCAGGACACTGGCATCCCACATTGGCACTGGTTCAAATTGCAGCAGTTTTTTCTTTACGTTTTCTTTTTAAGGATTTAGTTTAATTTTAATTTTTATTGGAAAGACAGACCCACAGAGAGAAGGAGAGGCAGAAATATCTTCTGTCTGCTGGTTCACCTCCCAAGTGGCCACAACAGAGGGCTGCAACAGCTGGAGCTGAGCAGATCCAAAGCCAGGAGCCTCTTCTGGGTCTCCTATGTGGGTGCAGGGTCCCAAGGTTCTGGGCCATGCTCCACTGCCTTCCCAGGCCACAGGCTGGGAGCTGAATGGGAAACAGAGCTGCTGGGATTAGAACCGGCACCTGTATGGGTTCCACATTGAGGTGAAGATTTAGCCACGAAGCTATCACACTAGGCACCTCAGCTGCTCTCCTTTAAATCCAGTTCCCTGCTCATGGCCTGGGAAAAGCACCAGGAGATGGCTATGGATGGCGCTCTGGGCTTCAGCCATGCCTGGCACAACCTATTGCAGCCATCTGGGGAGTGCAACAGTGATGCAGGATTTCTTAAGATTTATTTATTTACTTATTTTTCTTGGAAAGTGAAATTTACAAAAAGAAGGAGAAACAGATCTTACATCTGCTGATTCACTCCCTAAGTGGCTGCAATGGCAGGAGCTTAACCAATCTGAAGCCAGGAGCCAGGAGCTCCTTCCAGGTCTTCCACACCAGGAGGCCACACCAGGCCCGATGGAAGATTTCTTTATTGTTCCTTCGCTCCTTCTTTCTGTTAACTCTGAATTTCAGATCAAAATATCATGGCCATGCTCTGGTGTCAGCTTCTTGCTGATCCACACACACCTTGGGAAGCAGTGTTGATGGCTCCAGCGGTTGTATCCCTGCCCCCCGTGAGAGACCCAGATGGAATCCCAGATCCCTCTGCTACATGTGAGCATTTGGGGGGTTAACTAGTCGGTGGGAGTACAAGAGTAAGTGAATGAAACAGGCGGATTCCATGTACTGAATTCCTCCCTAAGTAACCTCCACAAGGGCCAAGCAGAAAGAGAAGGAGAGAGATCTGCCATCCCTACCCACTGGTTCCCTACCCAAATGCCTGCAATGGGCCAGGCAAGGTAAGCCCCAAGCCTGGACCCTGGAAACTCTGTATCCGCTTCTTCCATGTGGGTGTGATGAACCCAACCACTTGGCTGGAAGCTGGAAGTGTACAACAGGGCCTGGCGTGACAGCTAAACTCTCAACTTGCTCAAACTGGAGTCCTGGTTCATGTCCCAGCTGCTGTACTTACCACCCCAGTTCCCTGCTTGGGGCCAGTAGAGGATGGTCCAAAGCCTTGGGAAACTACCCACGGCGAAAACCCAAAAGAGGCTTCTGGTTCATACTTTGGACGTGTCAGCTCTGACCATTGTGGGGGAGTGAGTGAGTGAGCAAATGGAAAATCTTTGTTTTTCCTTCTGTAAATCTGATTTCCAATTGAAAATATACAAGTTGGTGTTGTAGCATAGCAGATTAAAGTTGAGACTTGTAGCTGGCATCAAATCCTGGCTACTCTACTTCTGATTCATCTCTTGGTTGATATACCTGGGGAAGCAGTGGGAGATACCCTAAATACTTGGATCCCGCTATCCAGTTTGAGATCTGGGTGGGGTTCCAGGCTCGTGACTTTGTTCTTGCTCAGCCCTGGTCGGTGTGGCTAGTTGAGAAATAAACCAGTGGATAAAAGTTCTCCTCTGTCTCTCCATCTCTGTCACTTTACTTTTCGCAGAAATAAATGTTAAAAGATGGGGCCAACATTGTATCATAGCAGATAAAGCTGCTGCCTGTAACACCAACACACTTGGGTGCTTAATCCATGTCATAGCTGCTCCACTTCCAATCCAGCTCCCTATTCATGGAGTAGGAAAGCAGCAGCAGATGGCCCAAGTGTTTGGGCCCCTGCACTCATGGGAGACCCAAAGGAGCTTCTGGTTCCCAGCTCTGGACTGGTCCAGCTCTAGTCATTGCAATCATCTAAGAAATAAACCAGGAAATGAAAGATCAATCTCTATCTCTCCCCTCTTTCTATAAATCTTTCAAGTAAAATACATAAATCTTGAAGTTCACTAATTATCAAAATTGAGCCATTAAAATGACAGGGGTTGGGCCCGGCGCGATGGTGCAGTGGTTAAGGTCCTCGCCTTGCACGTCCGGGATCCCATATGGGCGCCTCTTCCAGGTCTCCCACGCGGGTGCAGGGTCCCAAAGCCCTGAGCCATCCTCAACTGCTTTCCCGGGCCACAGGCAGGGAGCTGGATGGGAAGTGGAGCTGCCGGGATTAGAACCGGCACCCACATGGTATCCCAGTGCGTTCAAGGTGAGGACTTTAGCCGCTAGACCACTCCACTGGGCCCAAAAAATGGCAATTATTAAGGTAATAAAAACCTGAGAAAGTGTTCACGATGCATTTGATATGGGAAAAGAGATTATGAATGATTATATTAACTAAATTTAACGTAATTTAATTTTTGAGTTTTATTTTATCATGTTTAAGGCGACATAAATATGTTTAAAAACAATTATTGCAACCTGAAAATTGACAGTGAAAATATTATTTTAGACCTTAATGAATTGAAAGTAGACTGGAAAGTTTTTCTTTGATAATCTTTATTACAAAATGACATTGATCTAGTGTGAAAGGGACCAAATGGACTAATATATGATTTTCAAATATTTGAAAATTATAGAACTCTTCCTAGTCTGATAAGGCTGCAGCAATATTTAATTATGGCATTTATGGTTCCTTCCACCCCTGACATACGTTAACAGCATTTCTGGTTTATTATTGGAAGTGGCTAAATCTGATATGGTTTATCATCATCATAAAGTTTTATAGAGCAGGATGAAAAATTAATATTAATCAAACATCAGCCACATGTCTAATCTTTACTAACATTCATATATGTAGTTTCACAAAGTCCTCATTTTTAATTGACTCAAGCTATCAATACCCAGCTAAATTGAGCTGCCTTTTTTTTTTTTTTAAGATTTATTTATTGTAAAGTCAGACATATATAGAGGAGGAGGGACAGACAAAGATCCTCTGTTCGATGATTCACTCTCCAAGTGACCACAATGGCCGGTGCTACGCCAATCCGAAGCTAGGAGTCCGGGCCTCCTCTGGATCTCTCACATGGGCACAGGGTCCCAAAGCTTTGGGCCGTCCTCAACTGCTTTCCCAGGCCACAAGCAGGGAGCTGGACGGGAAGCAGGGTTGCCAGGATTAGAACTGGCATCCATATGGGATCCTAGTCTGTGCAAGGCAGGGACTTTAGTCTCTAGGCCACCGTGTGGTCCCCACCCCACCCCCCTTTTTTTTTTTTAATTTGAAAGGAAGATATACAGAGAGAGGATCTTCAGTCTGCTGGTTCACTCCCCAAGTAGCTGCCAATGACCAAAGCCGAACCAATCCAAAACCAGGAGCCAGGAGCTTCTTCCAGGTCTCCCATGTAGGTGCAGCGTCTTAATGCTTTGGGCCATCATCCACTGCTTTTCCAGGGTACAGTCAGGGAGCTGAATGGGAAGTGGAGCAACTGGGATGCTAACTGGCATGCATATGGGATTTTGGTGGATGCAAGGTGAGGATCTAGCCACTAGGCTATCATATCGGGCCCCGAATAGCGCTGTTTTTAAAGGAAATTAATCTTGAGGTGCTGCTGTTACAGCATATCAGGCTAAGCCTCCACCTGTGATGTCAAAGTATGTCAGGGGTGGAAGGAACCGTAAATGCCATAATGCTGTGTGGGCACTGGAGAAAGCAATGGAAGTTGGCCCAAGTACTACGGCCTCCACACCCACCTGGGAGACTCTGAAGAAACTCTGAGCTCCAGGCTTCAGCCTGGCCCAACCTAACAGCCATTTGCTGTGTGAACCAGATAGAAAATAATCTCTCTCTCCCTCTTTGTAACTCTGCCTTTCAAAGCAATCAATCAGTTCACCAATCAAGCAGTCTAAGGGAAATGAATTTTTTTTATCAGCAACATGTTCAAATGTTAAGTTAGAAGACCCCTTTAAGCTTCTTTATAGGGTCAAGATTCTGTAATTTACATTTTATATATCATTGCATGGATGATAGTCTTGCATGTCAACATACATTAGTTTGCAATAGCAGTTTAGCTGTAGTAATTCAGAATATATCTGAGTTGCTTCTGGCCTGGGAGAACAGTACAGGATGGCCCAAAGCCTTGGGACCCTGCACACTCTTGGGTGTACTGTTGAATGTTGTCTTTCTATGTATAATTTCTTGTCTGTACGGTAGAGGAATTTCCTTTCTCCTCTACCTCCCCATCCAGGTTTAGCAATAAGGACTCTGTAGATAGATTTAGGAAACAGTTCAGATGGAGTACCCATCGTAACATGACTTCCATGGTGTGAATGGGTGTTTAAATCCTGCTGAAAGTCTCAGAGAAGAGACTGATTAAATCCTATGCAATCTCCTTGTTATTAGAATCCATTAGGCAGAAGTGACGTGTTCTCAGATCCAATATACCTGTGCTTTCTGGTGGAGATACCTAGATGAATTCATGATATTACCATTGTCATTTCCTTAGTTTTCCTATCCCTTGGTTCTATAGATCAGACTGGTAGTTAGGAACGGCTGCAGACTTTTTATTTTTAGCTGAATTTATGTATTGTGAATCCTATTAATGCAAGCATCGTTTTCTAGGTAATTAATGATCCTGTCCATGGCCACATAGAGTTCCACCCTCTCCTCATCCGAATCATCGACACGCCTCAGTTCCAGCGGCTGCGGTACATTAAACAGTTGGGAGGCGGTTACTACGTCTTTCCAGGAGCATCCCATAACCGCTTTGAGCACAGTTTAGGGTGAGAAGGGGCTGGCCTGGGGACTTGCAGCTGTCCGGTACCCTTTCTGCTTGTGAAATACCTCACATCTTAGAGTAATTACGTTCATCAACTTGTAGTGATGTCTTTATTTTCCTGATGAGAAAATGGAAAGCTCATTTTTTGTGTTTTGCTCTCTGTGTGTTTTTAGCCACTTCATATCCTTCTTGAAAAGGTAACAAAAAAGTACCTAGATCAGTTAGTGAACAGGTTAGTTGTGTAAATGTTTCTGTTTTGATATTATTTAAAACCTCATAGGGTAGGTTATTAATAGAACCTAGTCTGTAAATCTGATTAATTACCTATAATGCTCTATTTTTTTGAAGGCTTACTTATTTTTAATGGTATGACAGATTTACACAGAGAAGTAGAGACAGAAAGATCTGTCCACTCGTTCATCCTAAAGTGATTGTGACAGCCAGAGCTGAGCTGAAGCCAGGACTAGGAACTTCCTTCATGTCTCCCATGCAGGGAGAGGGTCCCAAGGCTTTGGGCCATCCTTGACTGCTTTCCCAGGCCACAAGCAGGGAGCTGGATGGGAAGTAGAGCAGCCAGGACAAGAACCTACACTCATATGGGATCCTGACGCATGCAGTGCGAGTATTTAGCCACTAGGCTATCATGCCCGGCCCCTCTTTCTTATTTATTTATTTATTTATTTATTTATTTATTTATTTATTTATATTGGAAAGGCAGATATATAGAGAGGAGGAGAGACAGAAAGGAAGATCTTCCATCCCATGGTTCACTCTCTAATCCGCAGCAAAGGCTGGAGCTGAGCCAATCTGAAGTCAGGAGCCTCCTCCGGGTCTCCCATGCGAGTGCAGGGTCCCAAAGCTTTGGGTTGTCCTTGACTGTATTCCCAGGCCATAGGCAGGGAGCTGGATGGGAAGTGGGGCCATTCTGAAACCAGGAGCCTGGAGCTTCTGCAGGGTCTCCCAGGCTTCATGGGCTCAAGGAGTTGGACCATGCTCTACTGTTTTCCAAGCTTAAAAGTGAGGAACTGGATCAGAAATGGAAAAGCCCGGGCTTGAATTGGCATCCATCTGGGATGCTGTTGTTGTAGGCAGTAGCTTAGTGTAGTATGCCGTGGCACAGCCCCCTGCTCCACTTCCCTGAAGATTTGGGACCCTGTACCCATGTGCGATACCTGGAAGAACCTCCAGGCTCCTGGTTTGGGGAGTGCATCATCGGACGGAGGATATTCCTCTCTATCTGTCCTCTTCTCTGTATATTTGACTTTCCAATAAAAATGAATAAATCTTTAAAAAAAAATGTTGGAAAATGTGCATTGAAGTTCTGCAGATGAGAAACATAACGTAACTCCTGAAGAGAAGAGTGACTTTTTGATTTTTTTGTTGATTTTTCATTACAGGGTAGGATATCTAGCGGGATGTCTAGTTCGTGCACTATTTGAAAAACAACCCGAACTGCACATAACGAAGCGAGATATGCTCTGTGTTCAGATTGCAGGGCTGTGCCATGATCTTGGTAAGCTGCATTAAGAGCCAAAGTTGCTATGTTATGACGTATGTTAACCCTCTGAGATTGGAAAATCAAACTAACAAATCTGGAAACTTTGTTCTATTCATTCACACATGCCTTTGCCTCTTCTAGGATGCCCTGTAAGCACCAAGCATTGCTAGTTTATTTTCTTGTCATCAGTTGATGGGATTCCCATGACAAACATTCTAGTGAAATCCATGTGGAACAGATATAGAGAGCTTCTTTTCTTATCCGAGACCGTGGGTCCCTTAAATCTAAAAACAACATGCTGGTCCTTTGATAAAAGAAGAGAAAAAAGAACTTCCTGAGTCTCTTTAATAATCAAGCACATTTTTAGCCCCCTTTCCTTTTAGTTTAGCCTTACTTGTTCAGTGATACTCAAATGTGGGCATGCCCCAAAGCCAGGGCAAGGAGATGTCCGTGTTATAGCCAGATGCATAAAGGGACAGTCTAACACTTTCCGTGGTCCTCTGGAAGTGTCAGAGGGGACAGTACCACTCCTGAGCTGGTAGTATTAATGAATTCATTCATTTATTTATTGACTTTGAAAGACAGAGTTACAGGTTATAATCAGATGGAGTGGGAGAGCCAGAGAGATATCTTCCATTCGTAGATTGACTTCTCCTAATGACTGCAACAACCAGGGCTAGACCATGCTCAAAGCAGGAGCTCCTCCATATGGGTGGCTGGGGCCCAGGTGCTTAGGCCATCTTCTCCTGCTTTCTCATGCGCATGAAAAGAGAGCTGAATTGGAGCCGTCAGGACATAAATCACTGTCCCTGCGGGATGCTGGCATTGCGGACAGCAAACTACCCTGCTGCACTACAGTGCCATCCCTGATTTTTCTTCTTCCTAAAAAATTTTTATTGTTAAGAGTTGTTTATTTGAAAGGAAGTTACAGAGAGAGAAATCTTTCCTTTGCTGGTTCAATCCCTAAATGGTTGCCACAGCCAAGGCTGGGCTGGGCTGAAGCCCGAACTGAAGCTATAAGCTTCCTCTGGGTCTTCCATGGGGGTAGAGGGGCCCCAGCACTACAGCTGTCCTCTACTGCTTTCCCAGGCACATGAGCAAGAAGCTTTATTGGAACTAGATCAGCCAGGGTTCCTAGAGGTGCTCACATGAATTGCTGGCATCTCGGGTAGCCGCTAAACCCACTGGGCCACAGTGCCAGCCCCCTAATTTCTTTTAAATTCCAGTATTTGAAAATCAGCGAGTCACAGCCCAGTAAAGAGAAGCGGATCGTCTATTTGTGGGCTCATTCTCCGAATGCAGAAAAGCCCAGACCTGGGCCGGGGCAAAGCCAGGAGCTAGAGAAAGCCTGGATCTCCCTAGGGTAGCAGAGACCCTATTCTTTTTTTATTATTATTATTATTATTGATTACATTGCATTATGTGACACAGTTTTATAGGCTCTGGGATTCCCCCCTTCCCTCCCCAAAACCCGTCCCCCCCAACCATGGTGGATTCTTGTTGCATTACTACAGTTCAAATTCAGCATCTTTCCTTGCAAGCATCTACAAAGCATAGAGTCAAGCATCTTATTGTCCAGATAAGTTCAACAGTTTCATGGGGAGACCGTCTCTGGTCTGAAGGTAGAGCCGACAGAGTATCATCCCAATCAATTAAAAACCCCAACATTACATCAGTAACAATTTATAACGTAATGGAATTAGTTGACATGGTATTGTGTAACCAGCATGTTAAAAGAGAGAGAAGAAAAAAAAAAAAGAGTGCGAGTTCTGAACCACATCCTATGACTTCTACATTGACATTACAATTATTAATTTATATACAACCGGGTTCTATATACTTTACAATGGCTATAGATTACTATTCAGCTGTCTCATGTCTATTTTAATTTTAGTATTTAGCAGTTCATAGCATTGAAGCATGATTTTGCAGAACCTGGCTGTGTTTTTCAGGTAGTCTAACTGTATAACTCTAACAAGACATATGTCAACAGTTTAGGTGAACAGTTTTAGGAGGGGTGTGTAGAAAAATCTTCAAAACCCTAGTGAGGCGTAACTAATCTTTGTGTCCCACCCAGTGAGTTATAAGTGCATCCCTGCTGACCGTTTCCTGTTTCTACACTTTCCTTGTTGATCTCTATCTATTCTAAGGTTTTTTGTTTGTTTGTTTGTTAGTTTGTTTTGGGGGGTTTCTGGAGCGATCCTGATGGTCATTACGAGAGAGGGTGGGGACCCAAAGCTGGCACCAGGCAAGAACCAGAGAAAGCTCCTCCCCCTAGTCCCGAAGGAAATTTACTGTTTTGTTTCTGCGGACTGCTCAGTGCTCCTGGTTGTTGTTTCGATGACCTAAGATCCTGCAAGGCAGGTATGGGCTTCTTCTATCCCATGTGGGAGATCCAAATGGAGGTGGGTGACCTCAGAGTTCTCGGCCTCCGAAGCAGAGACCCTATTCTTTAAGGCATCATCTGATGCTGCTCATGTGACCCTGTAGCAGAAGCTGGACTGGGGTAGAGTTAGAACTTGAACCCAGACACTCTAATATGGGGCAGTGATGTCTTGAGTGGTACCCCTCAGCCAGTATGCCAAATGCCTGCCCAGGATTTCTGGTATTTTGAGAGAGAATTGCTAGAAAGCTTAGAGTCTGAAGCTTGGCGGGAGTGGGCTTGGATATCCCAATTGTCCTGCCTGGGAACTCACCTCTTCAGAAATATTTTTTTAAAAAGATTTATTTATTTTTATTAGAAAGACGGGTATACAGAGAGGAGGAGAGACAGGGAGGAAGCAGCCCCAAGCAGCCGCAATGACTGGAGCTGAGCCAATCCGAAGCCAAGAGCCAGGAGCTTCTTCCAGGTCTCCCATGCAGGTGCAGGGTCCCAAAGCTTTGGGCCATCCAAGACTGCTTTCCCAGACCACAAGCAGGGAGCTGGATGGGAAGCAGGGCCGCCCGGAATTAGAACTGGCACCCATATGAAATCCTGGCACTTTCAAGGCGAGGACTTCAGCTGCTAGGTTACTGCGTTGGGCCCACCTGTTGCTTTTAGATATAGATTAAAGAAGTAAAATTTGAGTTGCATGTGGAGGGAAGAACCCCCACAGAATTCCCTTTAACTATATGAAACTCTTCTGTTACAGATTTACTTAAGCTCTGCCCTCTATGGAAAGATTACTTTGCTATTTGGTTCTTGTTCTCTTGTTTTTGAAAATAGGAAGAAAATAGGAAGGATTTTGTCTCTTTTAGTGATGTGTTTATTCATTTTTGTTGATATGCAACTTAAACTCTTAACTATTCAGTTTCTAGTAATTTTGAACAAAAGCTATTGTTGTAAGGCTGCTCTTGTTTTTAAGGTCATGGACCATTCTCCCATATGTTTGATGGAAGGTTTATTCCCCTGGCTCGCAAAGAGAAGAACTGGACGGTATGTATGCGTGTATTCAACACTCAATGAAAAGACCGTAGTCTGTCAGGTAGCCACATTCTGCTTGAGTTCATTGCTGTCTTATAATTTACGTTCCTGTCAGTTTTACAGTTGTAATCATGTGTGTGTGTGTGTACATACATATGTGCATATGTGTGTGGGAAGGATGTATGTTTTTATCAGATCCTCACAGTATAAAAGTAAGAAATTGTTATCACCCCTTTTTGAAAAAAAATTTTTGTTTAAGATTTTATTATTTATTTCTATTGCAAAGTCAGATACACAGAGAGGAAGATTTTTTGTCCATTGGTTCACTCCCCAGTTAGCCCTAATGGCTGGAGCTGAGCCGATCTGAAGCCACAGGAGCAGGGTCCCAAAGCATTATTATGAATTTGTAGATTATGCACACACGCAGAATTCATGTATTATGCACTTTTCCCCTGTGTCCAGCTTTATAATTGTGTTTTCTTGATTGCTTTTGAAAACTAGTAGTTTTACATTTTCTTTTTCTCTTTTGTAAAAGATCTTATTTACTTATTTATTTGTTTATTCAATTGAAAAATTAAATATACAGAGAGGAGGAGAAATAGGAAGATCTGTTCGATGATTCACACCTTAAGGGATTGCAACAGCCAGAGCTGAGCCAGATCTGAAGTCAGGAGCCCAGAGCTTCCGGCTCTCCCATGCAGGTGCAGGGTCCCAAGGCTTTGGGCCATTCTTTTTCTTTCTTTCTTTCTTTTTTTTTTTTTTTTTTTTTTAAGATTTACAGAGAGGAGGATCCTCTATCCGATGACCCACTCACTACTCAAGCGATTGCAACGACTGGAATGTCACAGAAGTGATTTGCTATTTAACATTGATTATAAATGAACAAAGAAAGACTGATGAGCAAATTATGGCCAATTAGAGATTTATCATGTTTGACCTGTAGAGCTCAGATCGATTATTACATTTCCTGGTCTGCTTGCACTTACCTAATTAACCACTAGAGGGCACTGTAAGATGTCCTATAACTTCATCTGTTTGCAGGGTGATGAAAACATAAAATTAAACTGTATGGTGATATTTATTAAAATGAGATTCTGCCTGGAAGGCATTGTAAAATTCTTCCAGGTACTTTAGCTTATTTTATAAAGATTACACTTTGAAATAATAATGAACATTGCTGGTGAAAAGTTGGTAGATAATACTGACAAATTTGAGATTGTTAAGAATATCTACAGCCTTAGAGTTGGAAACTGGATAATTAACATGCAGTAGAAAATAGAACCTAATCTCAGATTTACCAGGAATCAAGAATGATTCTGAGAATCTGCGCTCCTGATTGTCTAGGGTCTCTAACAGGCCATGTTGTGCTCATTTCCTTAGCATGAACAGGGCTCAATCGACATGTTCGAGCATCTGGTGAATTCTAATGGACTCAAAGCTGTCATGAAACACTATGGTCTTGTCCCTGAAGAAGATATCTGCTTTATCAAGGAACTCATTTTAGGGTTGCCAAAGTCCTCTCTTGAAGAGTCGTCGGTGAGTTGCACACAACTGTGGCGGGCCTGTTGTGAGAGCTCGTGTGGCTGTGACTGAGGGACTCAACAATCCAGTGCAAGTTAGATATGTCGACTGCTTCCTGCAAAGTCAGTGTTATTCTGCCTCTTAACTGAGTGCTTTAGGTGTTGCCCTCCAAATTTTAAGTCAACATATTTGCAGTAGTTAAATAGAAATCTGAAATAACTGTGATTGGAATTGTGATTAACTTTTTTTGAAAGATTTATTAAAGGCAGATTTACTGAGAGAAGGAGAGACAGGAAGAAAGATCTTCCATCTGCTGCTGCTTGATCCAAATGGCCACAAAGGCCAGCGCTGAGCTAATCCAAACCCAGGAGCCTCCTCCAGGTCACCCATGTTGGTTCAGGGTACCAAGGGTTCGGACAAGCCTCCACTGCTTCCCCAGGCCATGAGCAGCCAGGACGTGAACTGGCCCCCATACGGGATGCTGGTGCTTGGAGGTAGAGAATTAGCCTTTAGGTATATCACCCTGGGCTGTCCTATTTAGTGTTTCTTCTCATTGTGTTTGTTTAGGACTCAAGTAGAAGGAACGAGCTCTTGCTTGCAGCCAGCTGTTTCTTATTTGCAGGTTAATATCATTGCTCTCCTTGTGAATAGATTTGATACCTGTCCTGAAACTTTGGTTTTGTCTTCCAGTGGCCCTATAAAGGGCGTCCCAAAGAGAAAAGCTTTCTTTATGAGATCGTGGCGAATAAAAGAAATGGCATCGACGTAGACAAGTGGGATTACTTTGCCAGGTATGCACTGAGCACTTCATAAAAGTCCATTAAAACTCATAAGCAAATTTAGCGTTTGTTGTGTCAGGTGCAGTTCTTCCTGGAAAATGCCATCTCTCTCTCTCTGCTTTGGCATCTCTAGGGACTGCCATCATCTGGGGATCCAGAACAACTTTGATTACAAGCGCTATATTTTGTTTGCCCGTGTCTTAGAAGTAAAGAATAATAAGCAGATTTGTACTAGAAACAAGGTAAGTATGCCCAGGGAAGCAAGTGAGAGTGCAGTTCCTGGCCCGACACCTGCAGTGTTGATGATGGTGGGGTTGTATCTGGTATGCCACTATTTTGTGGGCCTTTAAAGCATGAACCCAGTTCCCAGAACTGCATGAGAAAATTTGGAAAATGAGTGGGGCAGAGGCAGAGACAGGATGGAGCTAGAGTCTTAGCCCTGAGGGTTCATTCCTGGAGCTTGTCTCCCTAATTCCTGTGTGAGTGTTCCAGTTAGCTAGAGGGCCCCTGCTAGAAGAGCATCCAGTCACTGGAAGAGAGGCATAGTAATATCATGTGAAATAGAGAGCACAAGAAGAGTGGCAGTTTGCTCAAGTTAATGGCAGTATTAAAGAAATGTTTGGGGTGGGCCCTTGGCACAGCTGCTAAGGAGACCACAACTCTTAGAGTGCCTTGGTTCAAGCTCCGGTCCCATTCTAACTCCCTGCTAACACAAACTGTGGGAGGGAGCAGGTGAGGGCCCAAGAACTTGGGTTTCTTCCTCCCATGCGGCAGACTCTTTGAGTAAGTTCCATGCTCCTAACTTGGACCTAGCTCAGCTCGAGCTGTCACAAACATCTGAGGACTGAGCCTGCCTATGGATGATTTCTGTCTCTATCTTCAAAGTTAATAAAAGTAAGTTTGTTAAAAAAAAAAAATGTAGTTAGAACACAAAAGTGACTTTAGATGACCAAGAGTGAGCCTGACGACCCTGCCTCCTTCTCTGCTTCATGAGCTCCAAGGTCTAGAGGAAATAGCTGTAACTCATGGCCTCTGCCCACTGTTCCTCCTTGGCCCGCTACTTCCTGCCCTCCATGAATTGCATGTTTTCCTGCAGGAGGTTGGAAATCTCTATGACATGTTCCACACTCGCAACTCTTTGCATCGCAGGGCTTATCAACACAAGGTTGGCAACATCATCGACACCATGTAAGACAATCGGGTTACTTCCTTATGACGTGCATAACGTCTCCCTCAAGTAGCAGTCAGACCTGGGTGGAGTTGATGGTCAGGAGAATTTAAATGCAGAAGTTAAAACAGTTACTTCAAACAGAATCTAGCATAAAGTAAACCTAGTTTGAGCAGGAGGAAGAAAGCAGAAAACAGGCTAGGGCGTGGCTGAGGGCAGGAGCATGGTTTCTGGGTACCACCTCCACACGGGATGTGGGGCGAGAAGAACTGCTGCTCTGAGACTTGTGACAGAAACAGTCTGGGGCTTGAGGTTATGGTCTGCCCTCATGCCATCAGATACTTAGAACTAGTGGCAAATAGTAAAACCAGCTGAAATGTCACCTCTTTTTCCTGATCTACTCAGAACCATATAGAAAACTACAACCAAATCTAGAGGTGTCTTGGGGACCGGTGAGGAGTCACCAAAAACAGGGCACAAGTAACATTGTTGTGGTGTCTCTGGAATAGCTCTAAGTCGCTTGATTATAATCCCTTCCTGTCCATTTTTATGTTTGGGTTGAAGAAGAGAGTTGGCTTCTTTTCTGGTTTTCACCCATCCATTATGAGCAAAGTCATCCAAATGGGTTTTCCCATTCGTCCAATTAGTTCAGAGATCTAGGTTGAAAACCTGGCACTGCTGCCTCTTAATTTGGTTAAATGAAAATCACTTGCAAAATCAGGGCCAATTATACCCACCTGATGGTTAGCTGGCATGATTAGACAGATCACATATTTGAAGTCCTGACAGGTTCCTGGTACCCAGGAAGCACCCAAGATCACAAATTGGCAGGCATATTTATGATTAAGAATGTGATGAAAAAGCAGGTGCCTTTGAAATGTCTCACCTCATAACTGCATTTCCTTAAGTAAGACCTAAAGTGAATATTGCCAGTGTCTAAGCCTGAATGTTTCCACAATAAACTTCAGGATCACAGATGCTCTCCTCAAAGCCGACCCTTACATAAAGATTCCAGGTGCTAATGGGAAGATGTACCGCATTTCCACAGCCATTGATGACATGGAGGCCTTCACCAAGCTCACAGGTGAGGGCTGCAGGGTGACGTTGACAGCTCCTCTCCAGTCACGGGTGACCCATGCCTGGCTTGCCAATGAACCACTTTCCAAACACACGAGTGTGCTTCGGTTTTGTCAGTAGTTATACATTTTGGGATTTGAGTTTCGTGTCTGCCTTGTACTAACAAGGTGACCCTGACAAACTATTTTTAAATCTTCTTTGCATCATCTGCCTCACCTGCCCACTCCTGTCCAACACTGGACTATAAGAAAACGTATCCTAGATATAAATTATTGATGATCCTTTAAAAATATATATAGATTTTATTTATTTGAAAAACAGGATTAGAGGAAGAAAGATTGACATCTTCAATCTGCAAGTTTACTACCTAAAGGCCTATAACAGCCAGGACTGAGCCACCCAGGGCTCCCCCATGAGTGGCGGGGGCCCAACCTCTGGAGCCACATTCCGCTGCCTTCTCATGTACATTAGCACAGACCTGGCTTGGAAACCTCCCAAGGGGTGCTGGCATTGCAGGTGGCAGCCCTAAGGCCATTTTATTCTAAACTTGAAGCACCTCGTAGAACAGCACACTTCTATGGACTTGTCACCCACCTTAGCAGTCACAGACTTCAGGGCAGTCTTGTCATGTCTCTGCCTTTCCCCATTTGTCCAGTGAACGACCCTGAAGTTGACCTAATTCAGCAGGGTTTCTCATGTCAGTTGATTTGCTTGTTTGAATTTCACATCTCTAAATCTGTAACATGCCTCCATCTATACAATGCTTCTTGGGACCGTTTCAGAAGTACAACAGGATATGTCTTTGAATCTTGTGGTGTTTTCGTTGACCTTAATTAGTATTTTATCCAATTGACAGATAACATCTTTCTGGAGATCTTATACTCTACTGATCCTAATTTGAGTGCAGCACGAGAGATTTTAAAAAATATTGAATACCGGAAACTGTACAAGTTTGTGGGAGAGACTCAGCCAAAGAACTCCAAGAATATTATGAAGGTACGTTGTCAAGCATCTATTCATTCCTGCAGGATCGCCACGCTCTGTGTCCTCCAAGAGGACAGCCCAAACCCCCGATTCTGCTGTCACTGGCCCCTGACTGCATTTCTGTAAGGCCTGCTTCACAGATGGGGACACTGGGCTGTGGGTGCAAGAAAAGAACTTGCTCATGGAAGCACCAGCAGCCAGGATTCTTCAAACCTTTGCCCTCTCATCCTGCCAGTGAGAGGAGGCCCCAAGATTTTTTCACAATGTAGGTACAGGAAAGTGAGCAACAGGGAGAGTGAGAGGGCTCTGCTACCGCCGCCCTCCCTCACAGCCTGCCCGGTTCTTGTGCAGAAGGTGTCTGCCTCCCATGACAGGTTTTCCTCTTTGCCAGAAAGCCCTAATGTGACTCACAGTGAGAGCCGTACTTGGTACTGGCTTATGAATAGGTTAATTCTACTTTTTTTTTTTTCCCAAAAATATGAAAAATTTGTGCAAGTAACTGTTGTTGAAAAACATGTTACTGGTAGGGACTGTATTTGTTAAGCATGACACTAGCCATTTTTCTAAGCCTGTGCATGGTCCAAACACTCAGGAACCAAGAAGCAGAGTCTAACATGGGTCTCTGGTCTTCTCCAGGAAGAATATGAGGAACTTCCCGAAGAGGTCGCCAACGCTAAGCCTATTAATGTACCTATCAAGGCTGAGATGAAGGCTGAGGATTTCGTCGTGGACGTAAGTGGTTAGGCCAGCAACTGGCTAAAAGAAATGGTTAAAAATAGCTGCTTGTTTAGTAGGAAGACTTGCAGAAGTGTGGAAAAAAAGAAGGGAGTCAACCTGTTGCCTCAACAGAGAACCAATATTACTAAGCACTTTTAGAATGTTCTTTGAGGGCTGGCATACTACAGCAGTGTAAGTTGCTACTTGTGACAGCATCCATGTCAGGGTGCCAGTTTGAGGCTTGGCCATGCTACTTCTAATCTGGTTTCCTGTTAATGCTCCTGAGAATGCAGAAGAAGATGACCTAAGTGCTTAGGTCCCTGCCTCCAACGTGGGTGTGAGTCTCAGAATTCTTGGCTCTTGATTTTAGCCTAGCTGAGACCGTGCTGTCACAGCCATTTGAGCAGTAAACCAGGAGAAGGAAGATCACTCTTTCTGTCTGTTGCACTGCCTTTCCTTAAATAAAAAATAAACCCTTAATAATAATAATAATAAAAGATTTTTTTGTGATATTTTACCATTTTTTTTTTATTTTCATGAATATTTCTAATGTGACTGTGGTCATGGGATAGATAAAGCCTGTTTGGATTTAAAATCTTTTTTGATCATAAGTCATAGCCACAGGTCCAGCATGGTACCCTCAGTAAAATCCCCTTCCCAAGAAAACATTCCTGGTCATTCCCTGGCACCCCCGGCCAGCGTAGGTCTATTTTGCTTTACTTCAGTAGCTTTTATAATAGATTTGTTTATCTGCTTTTCTTCTGTTGTTTGTTTGACCTCGGTATTGGTCATGTGGTCTACAGGGCGTGGGACTGGATCAGAAATGTTGTCTTTCTAGTGTCTACCAGGATTTGTCCCATAACGAGTATAGACTTTATATCCTGTTTATGCAAACATGCAAACCCACTTCATGTTCCCCCATATTCGTCCATCAACCCCCTGTGGGTGGTCCTGCCTGGGTGTGTTTATTCACCAGTGCCCTTCTGAATCCCAGAGAGGGTGCCATTTCTCACACATGCCCTACTATCCTCGTGTCAGCTTTCAAGGTCACTGGGTGATTGCTGTTTCATTACCTGTCTATTCAACAGGTGATCAACATAGATTATGGGATGCAAGAGAACAATCCAATTGATCACGTTAACTTCTACTGTAAGAGCAACCCCAACCATCCAATCACTATTGACAAATGTCAGGTAACTTACTTGTTGAATAGCTATGCTTTTGTGGCCTTCAATAAGTCTGTGGTGACTCTGCCTTTTAGGAGCCAGAAAAGCCCTAAGGAGCGTGGGCAGCGAAGGGGGAGGCATATCTTACTGTGAAGGAGCATCTGTGGATCAGATCTTCTCACTTAGGCCAGTTTTTCCTGTTTGCTCAACTCAGCAACAGTACAGCTGTCTCTTGAGAGAAGGGGAGACTGCAGGGTTGAAGTCCTGGGGATTAAACGTGCACTTATTTCATATAGGAGAGTTTTTTTATTCTTTAGGATTTTTATCCTTAAGATCTTTATTAACAGATGGGATGTCAAATTTTCTTGGAATTGTCATTGGGCTAAAACAGGGGGACAATATGGTGCCTTTACCATCCCATCCCGTAAGTCAGGGGGCCAGCTGAGATCTCCACTGTGGGGGTTCATGGTCACAGTGAAATGCTCTCTCCTTCAAAAAGGTCTCACAGTTTCTGCCAGAAAGCTTCGCTGAGCAGCTCATCCGAGTATACTGCAAGAAAGACGACAAGGAGAGCCTGTATGCAGCTCACCAGCACTTTGTTCAGTGGTGTGTGAACCGGGACTTCGTCAAGCCGCAGGTGCGTGGCTTCCCATCCAAAGACTGCACCAAGTTTTCACTTAAGTAAAAAAAAAAAAAAAAAAAAGGATCCCTTCTACCCACTGAAGAAATTTTCAATTAAATTCCAGCCATGTAGTCATGATGTTCCAGCTCGTTCTCCTTCCTTTCAGGGTCTGCTCTAATTGTATCAGCTCGGAGTGGGGCTCTGCTTGCCATCGTTGTCCTGACCAGGAACGGGCAAGTGGCAGAGAGCAGCACAGTATCCCCCTCAGCTGTCTCTTTCCTCCTGCCCATTACCTAAGGCCTGAGTCCCAGCACTCACACATGCATGGAAGGTTACCAAAATATGATGCGGAGTGAAGTAAGGCTATGTACAACTGATTACAAGCTGTGTTTTGTTTTGTTGAAAGTTTGTTTTATTTCAAAGGCAGAGTTGACAGGGGGAGAGAGAAAGAGATCTTCTATCCACCAATTCATTCCCCAAATGGCCAGAATGTGCTGTGTTTAGGCAGGAGCCAGTCGCTTTACCTGGGTCTCCCACATGGGTGCAGGGAAATAAGACCTAGGCCATTTAGTGCTGCTTTCCCAGGCGCATAAACAAGGAGCTTAATTGGAAGTGGAACAGCTGGGATTTGAACTAGCACAACAGCATATCCCAATGCACCCTAACAGTGGTCTCCAGTGATAAGTTCTTAAACTTGTTTTCCAAACCTAGTAGTCCCAAACTTTTTGGCATGTCAGTGAGCCATTTACATTTTCCTGATTGAGGCTACAGAGGCAGAGTTGCCAAGGTCTGGGTGCCAGCCACACAGAGACTGCTGTCCCTATTGCCCTACATTGACGTGGCCCACCAACTTGTGCTGTTCTACCACCATGCTACAGCTTTGCCCTGTGTGTCAGATGTTGAAGGGAACATCGTGTTGCCAGAAGCACGAGGCAGGAACCTTTGTGTAGGATTCAGAGTCTGGGCTACATTTGGATGGGGATCAAGGACAGATGCACACCATTGGCCCGGGAGTGGCACAAGCAAAGCAAGAAACTGCAATGACTTAAGCGTGTCTGGTGGCCCATGAGGAGACCTCTAACAGTGTAGAAGATTCTTACCATGGAGTGGTAACAGGTGCACTCCGCTGTGGAGAACCTTGTGGATTTTCCTGAAGGGCAGTGGAGGAAGGAATTCTTAGAAACGCCAAGATGCTGCTGCTGTGACGATGGTAGAGAAAGACCCACAGGAGTAGGAAATGTGTCCATCCTAGAAGCCATGACATCTCTGGGCACTCTACTTTGTAGGTAGGTTGCGGTTTGGAAGCAGGGAGACAAGAGGCTATGCAGGCTCAGCCATGTGCTGACAAGGTCCAACCAGCTATGCTAAAAGTTTTGCCAGGCCCTGTTGTGGGGACCAGGATGGAACAACACCTGACATGTGGCTACTTGGTCCTATGTATCTGCCTGTAGCTAAGGAGGGCAAACCCACAAGCCCACCACAAGGGTGCAGCAGCAGTACCTGGCAAGTATGTTGCGGCAGGATAGACACAGAGTCCAAGCAAAGTGAAAGCCAGGATGGCTGCCGGAAAGACCACACTAGGTCAGGCCTAGCGTGCATCAGGATGAGGCAGAGCCAAATGCTCACATATGTAGCACCATGAGATGGCAGTGGAACCTGCCATCACCTGCCTCTGGGAACAGGGATCAAACCAGGAGTCATGACCTCCTGCAGAAGTGGGAAGTGCTTAAGGACCACCAACCGTGGCCAAGGCTCTGAACTCTGCCTTTCTCTTACCCCAAGTCTCCCATCAGAACCTTCCACTGCCCAAACTTCCCTGGAAGGCAGTAGACACAGGAGCTAGGGTAGGTGGTGTTAGTGAGTAGGTTCTAAAGAATGGGTCTGAAAGTAGAGAGAAAAGTGGGGTACAGGGGTCCCAAGATGCTGCCTCAGACAGTGCTCTCTTAGTGTGATGAAGGCTCCAAAAGAGATTGCTGCTTCTTATGATAGAGGGACCCCAAGTTCCAGGACAGCTTAGGATTGAGTCAAGTGTTCAAGAACCTTGCTGCTTATAGTCTCTGTGTTTAGATCAACGTGGCATTCCTTTCAGGGCTCTCCTGCATTTTGAGGGGAAAGAAGCTTATTTAGTCAGAACCTGTGCTGATGAGGCCAGAGTTCCCAGTTTACAGATAAAAATTCAAGTTCAGTAGGTATATACTCCCACCACAGTACCCCCACCCCCACACACATTCCTCCTTTCTTTCTTTCTTTTTTTCCCCTAGTCTGGTAGACCTGGGCCATTTCTTGCAGAAGGGAGCAGGGCCCGAGGGCAGTCCCTCCTTGTAAACTAACAGGGGAGGGCTCCAGCCCCACTGAGGTCTGTGAAAGGCAGTAGTGTACTGCCTCCAGTGTCCCTGAAAAGAAAAAGGGTCCCCAGCTTGTTGTCCTTGCTCAGGGGCCTCAGGCATAGGGGCCTGCCTCCAGGAGCAGTGTCTCAGATCTGAGGAGTTTGTGCCGAGATGAAAGGCTGAGAGCCACCTTCCCTCCTTGCTTGTGTCTTCTGGCCAGGATGGTGACATCATCGCACCACTCATCACCCCGCAGAAAAAGGAGTGGAACTACAAGAATTCTACAAGTCCCAGCACTCGCCCCCAGGGAGCCAGGATGCAGCTCTTCAGTGACAACATGGAGTGAGTGCCTGTGGCATCCGTCCTCACACAGACCCTTTGGGAGAATTCTGTCCAGGCCCCATGAATGTAGCTAACTGTTACTGCTTTTTATTTGCTGTTGTCAACATGCGCACAAACTCAGCCAAGAGATTTTTAAAGAAGCCAGGAGGGTCACGGCCAGTCTTGCTGTGCATCCCATGAGAAGCATTAGCTTGAGCATTTTTTAAATGTTAATGAAAACCTTTCTCCTTCTGCAGTCTATTTTCTTAGGACAGCTCTTTATCCACCTTGAACTCTTAAGGACAGATGATTGTTTTTAATTTAGAAATGAGACAAGGCTCCTCATTGAAATCAAAAGTTGGAAATTGGGATTGTCATGGACACACACGGGGTTAAAATCAGAACCTAAAGTCACAGCTGCCACGTTTGCAGGTAGCCATCCATGGGCAATCTAAACTCAGGAGAGAGAGGACCCTCTTCTTTGAGCTTCTGAAGGCTGCCCAGTTGAATTGAGCAGTAGAAGTCAAGGGCCAGGCCTAGGGGAGCTAGTGAGAGGATCCAGGGCTCTGGCCTCCTGCTGTGTAAAGCATAGAACACCACCTGGGATTCCCCGGGTAGAGGAGCCCCTGAAACGAGACTGCTCGTTGAATCAGTCCCAGCTGGCTTCCATCAGGACTGGCCTCAGCCCTTCCCGTCCTCCCGATGGCAGCCTCATCCTGAGCTGGGCAGAGGTTGTGTCACATGCCGTCCTCTGGCCTGCTCACAGCTGGCACTCCATTTTTTACTGACTTAGTATATTTTGCAGATTTTAGCTCAAGGGCTAGACTGCCTGTGCTGAGCCTCGTGATTCCTCAGGAGGTTCCAGCTCCCCTCTTTCCCAGACTGAGTGGGCACACTGTGTCTAAGCAGTGTCCCTGTGCCCAGCACCCCTAGCAGGCCTCATGGTAGGCACCCCTGAGCTTTGGGTTCTGGGCTCTGGGCTCCAGGTCTGTAGTTAAAAACCCAGACTCCCTCACCCCAGCCCAGCAGCCTCCCTTCCTGGGGGCAGAGCGGGGCACAGTGCCCTGCACCCTAGTGGGCTGTTCAGAAAGGGTCATGGGTGAATGCCATGGTACAATGTTGGTTTCGGTGAATGGAAAAAGCAAATGTGCACTTTTTTTTCTTTCGTCACACGCACAGTTTACATGAACTTTTGGGAGACCCCCCCCCTCTCCCTTAGAACCAGAGTGTCCCGTGCACACTCAGTCGTGGAGGATCAAGGGAACTGTAGTTCAGGAGCAGAGAAGCCCCCCTGCTCATCCACTCCCTCACCTACCATCCCCGACGCACTGTGGGGTGGCTGCGGGAGCGGGTCACCAAGGTGCTTTAGGATTCGGGGCAGAGCCCAGCGATGGGGCTCGGCTTCCTCGGGCCAAGCAAACCTGATGTCAAGAATGTGATCTTCCTGCCAATCCTTCCGTCTGCCACCCTGCCCGTCCAACCCTTGTAGTTGACTCTGAATGTTGCTGTCCTAATACTGGATCATTGTACTATCCCGAATCTGTTTGGTTGGTGTCTTTTGTTACTTTTGTTTGTTTGTTTTAATCTCTGCTGTTTGTATACAAATAGAGATTTGAACAATTTGTTGTTTGGAGTTGCAGAACACTGTCACCTTCAGAATGTAAATAGAAGGGCAAGTTGTGACGGGGCCACCCCTGGCTGCAGTAAAGCCTTCTGAATGTGACCCTTCCCATGTGTGCTCCTCACCCTCCCCCGCCTGGTCTGTGCCTGGACATCGCTTTGCGTGGGACCTGAGCTGTGAGCGGGATTGGCCTGGGCAAGCCCGTGTTTGGTGTCCTCACTCAGCAGTGGCTGAGTCAACCCCGGAAGAACCCCAGTCTTCTGCTGTGACAGACGCTTCTGGCAAGGGATGTGACTGGCTCCCCTGCGTTTCAGAACTCCTGTTGTGCACACAGCAGCTCACCCTCTTTATTCATTTATTTATTTTTAAAAAGCTATATTTATTTGTTTGAAAAGCAGAGCAACAGAGAGATGACCTCTTCCACTCACTGGTTCACTCCCTGTTTTCCTGCCAGAGCCAGGAGCCATCCGAGTCTCCTGGTACTTGAGCTATCTGTCATCCGCTCCCTCCCAGGTATGTCAGCAGGGAGCTGGATGAGAAGTGTGGAATAGCCAGGACTCAAACCGGGCCCTCCTAGCTTAGGTTCCCATCTACACAGGTTTCCATCCAAGTAGGCATGTTGCTCACTGGGTGCTTTCACATCCTCCTCATACAATGACACAGATGCCTATGTGTGTACGTGTGCAGCCTTGGAGCAACATAGGGAAGATGCTGGTGGTTCAGCTGCTGCATGAGTGCATGTCTGCCGGTAATCTACAACAGGCACTTGCATATTGTAGGCCCTCTTCCAGGACAGCTGTGCCGAGGGCCTCTGTGGTGCTCCGAGTGTCTCCCAGTCCCTCGAGGTCCCCAGCCATGGTCCACACTAGCTGTGCTTGGGACAGCAGAATGGGGCTGCTCCCTTGGCGGCTGGCACAAGCCTCAGCTTGGCACCCAGGCCTCCAGCTCCATGATGCAGAACTGCTCGTGCCGGGCCAGCACCTCGTTGTTGAAGGTTGCGCAGGGCTGACTCCCACCACGGTACAAATCTCCATCCAGCCACAGCCCAAACTGGCCACTAAAGAGAAGAGGACACTTGCATTGAGGCTCACTCCCTAGCATGGAGGCCCGTGGGACCCACCTGGGCCACCAGCCCCTGGCCACACGCCCTGACAGCAGCTAGCAGCCCAGTGTGGCCCATGGCTTGTGTTTTCCTTTAAACCGAGTTTTCCTGAATTGCAGAGGTTGAGGGTAGGGGTGCAGCCATCATCACCATTCTGTTTAGGGGGCCCAGAACAGCTTTCTCCTGGTGAGGCCTCACCATAGGCATGAATTTCATAGGTGCACCCCAAGCCACTTCAACGGGAGACCTCCTGAATGCCCTCTGCTGGAGGCAGGGGACGAGTGTCCACACACCTGTGTATGTCCATCTGTTTTAGGTGGAGCTACACCACAGGAGGCTTTCTGGGCAAGCGGGCAGGGGAATTTGCTTGGTATCAGTCAAGCAGTAGGCCTGGGTTAGAGGTCACACCAGGGGTCAGCTGCCCCACCTCCTGTCCACACACACACAGGCCAGATGCCTGCTGCAATGGATAAGAAGCCGCAATCTACTTAGGCTGAGTGGCCAAGCTGTTACGCACTGTACCCTCTGGTGGGTGGGGGCAGTGATAGGCATATGGGAGGCACAGCCTGACACGGAGCAGCTTTCCACCTTGTCTGGGGAAGCCCATGGCCCTGAGACACACACCTGCCGCTGCCCACCATCAACGAGTCCAAGTCTCCCTTCACGAAGAAAGAGTTGCGTCCTGTCCAGTTGAAGACCTGGGGAGTGGAAAGGCCAAGATGACCCAGCAGTTCAGCTTCAAAGCACAAGGTGGCAGTGCTGGCCATGAAACCACAACCCAGTCCCAGCCCAGCTGCCAGAGTGCTCAGGGCTGCTGAGGTTCCTCTTTACAGAGGCCTCAGAGTTCACGGCCTCGTACCCTGGTGGCTAAATTCCTACAATCCAGATGCTCTGGAAGCCCCTTGGTTGTAGGAGTTGAAACAAACCTGTAAGGCTCCCTGCTTCCAGCACTGTGGAGAAAGGAGCTGGCAAGGCCAGGTCAGGAGCTGGGACTCATCTTGTGAGCTCTCCTCATATGGCTCCCTGGCTGCCCAGCAGTGAACCCTGCATACCCTGACCATGGCCACTTCAGCCTGTCCCAGCCCTGCTCACCCCTTGCCGGGTCTCTTCCAATGAAGTCTCCTGCTCCAGCCCACGTCCACCCTGCTGTCTGATCCGCTCAGCATCTCCGCCAAGCTCCTTCCTCTCCCAGAGCCCCGTCTCCACCAGTTCTCCCAAGGCACCCACTTGCCATCTTCCAGCACAAACGTCCTTTCAAACTTTCTGCGGTCACCCTAGTGAAGGCAGCCTTTCCTGCCACATCCTGCTTTGATGTTTCATGTTTGTCATATTTGAAAGGCAGACACACAGCTTCCATCTTCTGCTTCACTCTGCCAGAGGCCCACAGTGGCCAGGGCCAGGCTAGCCTGAAGCCAGGAGCCAGGAACTGAAGCCAGGTCTCCCCTGTGGGGGGCTGTATGTGCATTACTGGGGACAGCTGGCCTGACCCTGGACATGAATATCCGTGGCGTTGCTCTTGAGCACCAGCTGCATTCCTGAGGTCACAGTCTAGATATTTGCTGGATGAAGAAATCACTTGTATCAAATCAAGCAACAAGACTTTAAAAGGGCCCGGCGTGGTGGCACAAGTGGTTAAGGTCCTCGCCTTGCACGCCCGGGATCCCATATGGGCGCCGATTCTTAATCCCGGCAGCCCCGCTTCCTTTCCAGCTCCCTGCCTGTGGCCCAGGAAAGCAGTCGAGGACAGCCCAAAGCTTTGGGACCCTGCACCCGCGTGGGAGACCCGGAAGAGGCTCCTGGCTTTGGATCAGCATAGTGTCAGCCGTTGCGCTCACTTGGGGAGTGAATCATTGGACGGAAGATCTTCCTCTCTGTCTCTCCCCTCTGTATATCCGCCTTTCCAATAAAAAACATAATAAAAATAAATCTTTAAAAAAAAAAAAGACTTTAAAAGAGCCATGAGTCAAACGTACAAGAGGCCTTCCAGCAGTTCATGATCTTAGGCAAAAATACTGGAGTTCCAAGTGTTTGCATTCAAATAAATGAATCCCATTTTTCCACGATTTTTTTATGTGCCATCATAATGATTGCCTATGATTTGTTGCCAACAAAAAAAAAAATCAAGAAAATGAAAATGAACTAAGCACAAAACTAAGGCAGAGCCTTTGCTCACAAGGACTGAGCTGATGTTAACCACTTGAAAGCAAAGCCGGTCAGCTCCTCTCGGCCTCCTTCGTGGCCATGGCCTTCAGGCTTGACAGAGAGAGATGATTGTGGTTCCTGAGGATGAGACCAGGCTAGGCTCATGATGCCACTTGGAATATTGGCTAGGCAAGTGCCAGAGGCCGAGACAGGTGTGGACCACTTCCTGAACCTGGGGCCACCATGAGGACAGGCTGGGACGCTACCACTCCCATGTTACAGACACTAGGTGCAACAGTGACCACTACAGAAAAGAATCTCCACCTTGCAGCACTCGTGCTGTAATGGAAGGAGACTGATAAATACCTGTGTGACAGTGACAGGTGGAAAGGACAAGCAGTGCTCACTTTCATTCAGTAGTCAGGGAGGGTCCTCCCTGAGATAGTGATGTCAGAACCGAGTCCTGGGACCAGTGCTGTGATGGTGAATTAAGCTGCAGCCTGGAACACCGGCATCCCATATGGATGTTAGTTCAAGTCAAGCCCTGGCTTGTCCACTTCCAATCCAGCTCCCTGCTAATGCATCTGGGAAAGCAGAGGAGGGTCCAAGCACCCCCATGGTAGACTTATAAGAAACTTCAGCCTGGCTGCTGCAGCCATTTGGGGAGTAAACCAGCAAATGGAAGATTCAAGATTTTCTCTTTCTCTCTCTCTCTGCCTTGAAGAGATGCAGCATGAGGGAGTTGGAGCAGTGTGCGTGAAGGCCCTGAGGTGGGAGCAGGCTGCACAGGCAAGAGCCAGTGTAGTGGGAGCTGAGTGAAGGACAAGCAGGGTGGGAAGAGCAAGTGCTGGAGGCCAGAAGGTGTTGGGCATGGTGCACACTTGCCTTTCTACTAAGTGAGGGAGGAAGCTAAGGAGCAGGGTGCCCTGGCCCGAGAGGACCCTCCAGCATCCTTTCTCCAGCCACCACAAGGGAGGCAGGGAGACCCCACCCCTGCATTGTAAGCTTCTCCCCATTCCTGCGAAGGCTGGGGAAGGCCCCTGGCAGATGGTGGCATGGCCGGGTGGGAGAAATTAGACGGAGAAATTAGACCTCCAAAAGTGAGCCACGGTGCTCAGATTAGTTCCTTACCCACCGGGCAAAGCGTGAACCTCTCCTGCTTGAGAGCACCATACCTGCACTGCCACACATGTGGCTCTGGATCCCTGCATGCTCTCTCCTGTCTCCCAGGGCTGTGCCTTTGCACACACTCCAGAAAGACTGCCAATACCTGCATCCCTGCCGCCTCTTGTCCTCGCTCAACAGCTTATCCTAGGGGAAGTCATCCTGGATCTCACCACTCTGTGTGACCAGCTCGCCAGGAAAGGAGAGTGAAGCATCAGCTGGATCTCCCACATAGGTGGTGGGGCCCAACCGTTAGGATCTAGGTGCATTGACAGGGAGCTGGATCAGAAGCAGAGTAGCCAGGACTCAAACTGATGCCCATTTGGGATTCTGGCATTCCACACAGTGGTTCAGCAGGTTAAGTGGCCACCTGGGACCCCTGCATCCTGTGTTAGAGTTCAGGTTCTATCGGCTCTCAGCCTTTTGGCTAAGATCAAGTGCAGAGTGCTGTTTTCAATCCTGGCTGCTCCAACTTCAATCCAGCTAGCTGTGTAGTCACGTGCCAAAGTGGTAGATGATGCTTCTAGTGCTTGGGTTCCTACCACCCACAAGGGAGAGCTGGATGGAGTTCCAGACTCCCGGCTTCAGCCTGGCCCCTGTAGCCATTTGGAAAGTGAATCAGCAGATGCAAGCTCTCTGTCTCTCTCAGTGTACTTTTCAAATCTTTCTTTTAAAAATATGAGCAGGCCCCAGGGTTCCTTTGCTCACCACCAGCAGAGTTCCAGGGAGACATGACACAGCCCAGCAAGCATGAGGCTCATAGCTGCTGCCCTCCCCTCACCCCCAAGCTTGGTCCTCCCAGACCCTCCCCCCAGGGTGGAGCCAGAGGTTACCTTCAGCTGGGGGCAGAAGGAGAAGAGGAAGGTCTCGCCCGTCCCATAGAAGCCCTTGCTGAGCCGGATGGCCGAGGAGGAGAAGGCGCCAAACATCTGAAAAGCAGAACTTGCCGTCTGCAGCTGAACATATCCCCATCTCCCCCACCCTCTGGGTGGAAGATGGAACTCGTTCCGGGGGTGCCTGCCATGAGCGCACAGCACCCTGCAGAAGGGCTGGGCTGGCCTCGTCTATCAGCTCATACTTAAGTATCTCGTACAAACAGCCCTTCCAGAAAAATCACAGGCTGTTCGTGGGCAAAAAGAAAATGCAGGAGGCTGCAGGTCCTCCCTTCATCTCCCGACAGAATGCCTTAGAGTCCATTTCCTGCCTGTGTACACACTTTTGTTTTTAAGTTTGTATTTATATGAGAGGCAGGCAGAGCCGGAGAGCTTCTATCCAGCAACCCTGAATGAAACGGAACCAAGAATGCGATCTACATCTCCCAGGTGGTAGCAGGGCCCGGGGACTTGAGCCAGCCCCACTGCCTCCCAGGGTCAGCCTTGCGAGGAAACGAGGTTGGGGAATGGATCTGAGACCTAAATCCAAGTATAAGGTGTCTTAACTTCTAGTTTTTTTTTTCCTTTTCTTAAAAATGTATTTATTTTTATTGGAAAGACAAATATACAGAGAGAAGGAGAGACAAGAAAATCCTCCAGATGATTCACTCCCCAAGCAGCTCCAACAGTTAAAGCTGAGCTGATACAAAGCCAGGAGCTTCTTCTGGGTCTCCAACATAGGCACAGAGTCCCAAGACTTTGGGCCATCCTTGTCTGCTTTCCCAGGCCACAAGCAGGGAGCTGGATGGGAAGCGGGGCTGCCAGGATTAGAACTGCCACCCATGTGGGATCCTGGTGCATTCAAGGCAAGGACTTCATCCACTAGGCTATGGCACCAGGCCCTTTAATTTCAGTTTTACTGTATTTTTAAATGTATTCTATTTATTTGAAGAGAGCCCAACTACTGATTTACTCCCCAGTTGCCTACAATACCCAGGACTAGGCCAGGCTGAAGGTAGTAACTCAGGGACCCTTGTCCTGCAGCCGTCATGGCCTCGTCCCAAGTGCCTGCCTCTTAGCAGAAGCTGGAATTAAGAACAAGCCAGGCCTTGAAACCAAGGCTTCTGATGTGGTTCCAGTTGTTCCTGGCTGCATCTCAGGTATATGATATCTGCCTCTTAGTCACTGTGTATGTGTGTTTAGATTTATTTTATTTTTATTGGAAAGGCAGATTTACAGAAAGATCTTCCATCCACTGGTTCACTGCCTAAATGGGCACAACGGCTGGAGCTGAGCCGATCCAAAGCCAGGAGCCAGAAGCTTCCTCCAAGGCCCATCCTCTACCTCCTTTCCAGGTCACAAGCAGGGAGCTGGAGGGGAAGTGGAGCATCTGGAATGTAAACCAGCACTCATATGGAAATGCTGGTACTTGTGGGTGAAGGATTAGCCAGTTGAAGCTGTCCACCTTCACCCAGCCCTCGCAAATGCCTTTAGAGTCTGCTTCCTCTCCTGCCTCGTGTGTCTCTGAGTCATGATAAAACCAGCTTGCAGATACTATGACCATGCAGCCCTGAACAGTTCAACCCCAAAGGCCCAAACTTGTTCTTAATATCACCATAATACCACCATTGCATCGAAGCAATGCACAGCTCTTCTGCAAGTTTATCTCGTGGCAAGTTCCTGTTCCATTTTTTCTGTCTTCTAAATGCCTTTCATATGCTTCTTTAAAGAAAAAAAAAAAGAAGATGGGCCTGGTGCCATAGCCTAGTGGCTAAAGCACTCACCTTGCAAGCGCTGGGATCCCATATGGGTGCTGGTTCATGTCCTGGCAGCCCCACTTTCCCTCCATCTCTGCTTGTGACCTGGGAAAGCAGTCGAGGATGCCCCAAAGCCTTGGGACCCTGCACCTGAGTGGGAGACCCAGAAGATGCTCCTGGCTCCGTGTTCCTGGCTTTGGATCAGTGTAGCTCTGGTCATTGCAGTCACTTGGGGAATGAATCAGCAGACAGAAGATCTTCCTCTCTATCTCTCCTCCTCTGTATACCTGACTTTCCAGTAAAAATAAATAAATCTTTAAAAAAAAAAAAAAGATTAAAAAAAACCCACAACAACCTAGGGGCCAGCACTGTGGCACTGCAGGCTGTTATCACCTACCATGCCAGCCTTCCCTGTCAGAGCACTGATTCCAATCTACTCTGACCTGACTAGTGCACCTGGGAAAGCATTAGGAGGTGGTCCAAGTGCTTGGGCTCCTGCCATGCATGTGGGAGACCCAGATGGAGTTCCAGGCTCTTGGCTTCAGACTGGCCCAGCCCTGGCAGGTGTAGTCATTTGGAGAGTGAACCAGCTGATGCAAGATACAAGATCCATCTCTTCTCTTCTTTTGCTCTGTTACTCCATTATGTCCCTCTCAAAAAAAAAAAAAAAAAAAAAAAAAGGAAAAATCCCTAACCCCAGCAGCTCCGCGTCAGATTTGCTGCCTGCGCAGCATTACTCTATGTAGGGTCACCATCGTTTCCTTTCCATTTCCCACTTGTGGAAAGATTGCAGCCCCATGTTCTTCTTGGTTGCGAAGGTGCAATTTTGCGTTTCTGGGCTGTGTGCTGGATAACAGGCTCTTCCCCATAGGATATTAATTCCAAGTGGGTCAGGCTGTTTGAATATCGGCCTGGCCCCCTATCCAGCTGGGAGCAGTGAAATGCTTCAGCCTCTTGAGCTGGGTCTATGAATGGTTGGGGATGGACTCTGCATGGGATGTAGGTCTTAGTTCCCTCCTGGGCATCTAACCCAGGTGGCTCAGCCCAGCACCTCTGCCCTTCGTCCTAGAGGCAACAGCCCTCTGCCTGGCTTACCTGCCCATCCTGGTCGCGCAGCACCAGCAGCGCCGGCCCGCCATGGCCCTCCATCTGCCGGTACAGCCTCCGCAGGCTGAAGCCATCCCGTGCGGTACAGAAAACTAGGCTCCAGGGGCATCCCCTGACCCGTGGGGGCAGGTGGAGGCTGAGCTGAGGGCGGAAGGCATGAGGTTAAACAACTGGAACAGGGTGAGCAGTCAGGTGTCGCAGCGATGTCCACACCCATCAACAGAGCCCTCAGAGGTAGGGGTTCCTACACTCATTTCACAGGTAAGGAAAACTGAGATTCGGGGAAGCAAAACAGATGAATGAATCCAAAGCCCATGTGGGGAGTCATTAGCAGAGTGGGGACTAGAACTCAGCTCAGGTCTCTGCCAGGACCTTTCCCTTGGCCTCTGTCCCAGCTTCAGCTCCAGGAACTTGTCCTGTTTCAGAATCAGCTTCTTCCTTTGTATTCCTCCCTCCTCTCTCCTCCCTCCCGCCCCCCCAGCCCAGGGAAAATGGCAGCACTCATGCTCTGCATTCATATTCTACAAAGCAAAAGGGAAGCCCAGAGAGAAGCAGACAGGGTGGACCTGGCCCCAGGGCCCCAGGGCCCGACTGGCATGAACAAGGAAGTGGATCCACCAGGCTGCAAACCCGGGACCGTGTGGTGCCCGAACCTGCCTGATCTCTGAGGCCCCCAGCACCTGGCTGGCCTCTGTCAGCTGGGGCTCCTGGGGCTCCTCAGTGGCTGGGGCTGGGGCTGGGGCTGCCACCGCCTCCTCCTCTTCCTCTTCCTCAGCATCCTCCTCTGCAGACAGGGCATCTTCCACACTGCTGGGCTGTGAGGACACCAAGAGGGGCTCGCTGCGTCAGGGCAGAGGCAGGTCCAGTGACCCCGGCAGAGGAGCCTCTGGGCCCTGCCCCTGCCCCTCCTCCCCAGCATAGCCCAGGGGAGACTGGCAGAGGTGCCCGGGATGGGACAACACCCTACCTACAGCCTGTGTTCTCCCTGTCCCCTGCCAGGTGAGAATTGAAATTCCCCCAGTACCCTTCTGTGCTGTTAGGATGGCACAGGGGGCAGGGGTGGTTGGAGAGGGGTTTGCCAGGGAGCACACTGAAGCCAGGGAATGGGGTAGTGGTGGAAGGGAGGAACAGCAGGTGGTGGCTGTCCAGCGCCAGGTGTGTGTGTGCACACGCATGTGCGCACGTGCAGGAAATAATGACAACAACAACAAAGAAGGATTTCCTGCCCATGTAGTGATATGTGTGGTCAAGTGGGTTTTTGTCTGTAAGCTGTGTAGATTGGTCAGGGTGGAAGAGCTGTTCAGTGGAGTGTGAGTTGAAGTCACTTAAATCGGTATGTCTCAATGTGCATGGTACGCCAGTGTGCTCAGACACCCACCCATTCCATTGAGCTTCCCTAATGCAGTATGTAAGAGTGTGTATGTGTGTGTGTGTGTGCGCGTGCAGGCCTATGCACCTACATACCAGGACTCCCAGGGTCCAGCCTTTGGAGAAGGAAGTAGGGGCAGAGTTAGTGACCTACCTTCCCACCCAGGTCACAGGACCATGAGCCTGCCCCAAGTTTATAGCCAGTCCCTCAGCCACCGCATCCACCCCTGCCTGGGTCCTACCTGCCAGCCACCTGGCCTCCCATGCCCATCCCACCCCCACCCTCTGCCATAACCCTAGCAGAACACAACCCTTACCAGCCGAGAGTAGCGCCAGCGGCCACCTTTCATGCTCCTATCCTGGCCCGGCAGCCAGCAGTGAGAGAGTGCTCAGCCCAGCTCTGGAGGAAGCAAGCACTGAAAAGGATGAGAGGAGCAGGGATGAGAGTCCAGGGATGAGAGGAGCAGGTGTGGGGTGCTCCCTGCCAATGCCACACCCACACTCACCCAGCTGCCCTTTGCTCTCCGCCTGCTGTTAATGCCCAGGCCACTGGGTAAGTGCATAAATGGCTTGCTCGATGACCACATCTGATGCCCGTGCTAGCACACCATGGATTTTAGCTTCAACTTCCACTCACCTCCTGCCCGTTCTGGCCACCTGGCCTGGCCATTGTGGTCCTTTGGGCAGAGGCTGAAGGCCCAGCCTACAAGCTCCTGGTCCTTATGGGACCTTGGATCAGGCTATCTGCCTCCCAGGGCCTGTTTCCCCACATGAAACATGTCAGGCTGGATCATCTCAGAAATGTCTTTGGACTGACTGGCCTCAGTTCTGGTCCCTGTGGCCCTGTGGTCCCATAACCTCTTCCAGAAGCTTGCACCAAACGTGCTGAGATCCAAATGCCCTGTTTCCTTAAAAATATATGTTTTTTGAGCAACAGAACAAGTCCCATCAACTGGTTCATCTCCCAAAGGGGTCAATACCAGGAGTCTGGGTTTCCCATGTGGGTGGGTGGCAGGGATCCAAGTTCTTAAGCCATCACTGCTGCCTCCCAGGGTGTGAATTACCAAGGGAGCTGCATTGGAAGTGGAGCCTGAGCAGGCATCACACCCAGGGCATTTGCCCTGACCCAAACACCTGCCCTTAATGAACGTCTTCTAAGTTCAGGGACTCCAAGGGAGAATGAGAATATAAAAACATGCATAATTCCGTGTTTCAGAAATAACCTTTCCCCATCTGAGATCTCATTTCATGTAGACCACAGATCACAGCCCAGATGGCTTTATAAAATGCCTCCCCAAGTAACAACAGATACAAATATTCTGTGACTTTGGCTAGCTCTGCGTGGTCACCTTGGAGGATGTGGGAGGGGCATGACTGGCTCTCCCTTCTATTAGACAGTCACTTCCTTCCTGCCGCCAGTGATCCTGAGTGAGCCTGCAGTGAACTTTGCTCACCTGTCATCTTGTCCTTTATAGTGCTTTTCAGCTGGCTGCAAGGTCAAAGAACATGTGCATGGCTCTTGACACAGTCCCAAGGAGCCTTCCCAGTGCTTTATAAAAGGAAAACTTGGGTAGTGATATAACAAACTTGTCCTCCAACTATTGTGCTGGGATCCCAAATGGGTGCTGATTCTAGTCCTGGCTGCTCCACTTCCCATCCAGCTACTCGCTTATGGTCTGAGAGGGCTGCAGAGGGTGGTCCAAATTCTGTTACCCACACAGGAGACCAGGAAGAATCCCCTAGCTCCTGGCTTCAGATCTCAGTTGTGGCCATTGTGCTATTTGGAGAGTGAACCAGGAGATGGAAAATCAATCTCTCTCTCTCTTGTTCGCTTGCTGTCTTTCTGTCTATCTAAAAATCTTTCAAACAAATATTTTTTTTAAATGGAAAAAGAGGATTTACTTATTTATTTGAAAGGCAGAGTTACAGTGGGAGGGGAGCAAAAGAGGTCTTGTCTCTGCTGGTTCAATCCCCAAATGGCTCAACAACTGAGTCAGAGCCAGTCTGAAGTCAGGGGTTTCACTTGGGTTTACTATGTGAATGTCAGGGCCATCTTCTGCAGCCTTCCTAGGTGCGTTAGCAGGAAGCTGGATCAGAAGCAGAGCAGCCAGGACTCAAACCAGCACTCTTGTGGGATGTTGGTGTTACAGGTGACAGCTTAATTTGCTGGGCCTCCACGCTGACAGCGTCCCCAGGGCTTAAAGCTGACCTGGCTCCAGGTCCCTTTGGTGCATTCGGTGATCTCTTTGTTGTCATGCAAACTGCTGTGTGGGTGGGGAAGGGGCCTAGGGACTGCGTGGGCATTGGCTGAGAGGGCTCAGGTTCTGGAGCCAGGGAGCTGAGGGCTTGGTTTTGGCACTGATTTGATGTGCGACCTTGGGCACAGTCTTTAACCTCTCTCCATTTCAGTTGGCTCGTATGTAAAATGCCAGTATCTGCCTCCTAAGGCTGTTTGAAGGAAAATTCTGCCTAAAGAGTTGGAATGCTAAGCCAGGCCTCCACCCCCTAGTCCTCACCCTGATGTCTGGTGGTCAAACTGCAGAGCTCACTGCTGTTCCCACCTAGCCTCTCCGAGACATACAGGGCTCCAATCCCTGACAAGTGGCCACACAGCCTTCACCTAGGAGCCACAGGATGAGGGAAGGGGAGGGGATACTTACTCTGGTGTGCCCCAGCTCTGGTGACCTTCTGCAGTCTGTCCCACAGTGTGAGGTGTCCTCAAAGTATCCCCCAGGTCCCCAAGAGGGAACGCACCTGGAGCTCACCTACCTGCTGGCAGTCCTTGTGTAGTAGCCAGCACCTCTGCCCAACCCTAGCCCCAGGCTCTGCACCCTGGCTTTTATACCCGCCCCTGGAGGGTGTGTCGCCTCCTAGGGCCCTGGCACAGTGCCAGCCCAGTTCTAGCTGGAAGGTCTGTTAGTGATTACAGGACACCTGGAACTCAGATCTCACACACATATTTCTACACACAAGATCTCATCACCCGTTGCCCCAGCCTCACCCCAAGAGCTCAAGGCAGTGGAGCACTCTCCTGGAACTTATTGCTGCAGCCAACATGTAGCCCCTGGCACCTGCTGCCTACCACTGCACACACACCCCTAAGGGTGTGATACAGGGAGCCCTGCCCACCCACCTCCTCTCCCCTGCCTGCCATGTCATGTCACGTTCACAGTAGGCACATAGCAACTTCTTTTTCTCTGCACACAGGATATCAATGACCCACACAGCCTCAAAAATTGAGTCCCTGAGCAAGGGGGCCTCTGCCCAGGGCAGGAGCTGATAGGGAACATTGGCTGAGCAGTCTCTCACCTTGTGAAGTGGGGGAGCCTGCCATCTTCCCCCACCCCTGAAACAGCCCACCCCTTGGTCCCACAGCCATGGTCCCCTCAGCCTGTATTTGCCTCAGTGTTATGGACAAAACAGACACACACAGGGCCCTGTTGTCACTGCAAACACAGCTGTTGCAATCTGTGTTTGGGCTGTCAACAGTGCAGGGTCACAGCCCACACCTCCTGCTGTGTCCCTTTCTCCGCTGCTAACTGAACCCTGGATGCTGGGAGGAGCAGGGAGATTGACCCAGCTGTCCCATTCTAGGGAAACTCAGTGTGAGAGTGGTTGAGGGGACGCCCCACACACCCACCTGCCCCTAGAAGACATCCCTCCTCGGGATCCTGGTGTCCCACCCACCCCAGCCCAGCACTGCCTCTTTCTGGCAGGTGCTGGGCACAGTGGGTAAGACCTATCCACCTGGGTCTGAGTCCCAGCTCTGCTCCCCATCCCAGCTTCCTGCTGATGTGCACTCTGGGAGGCCACAGTGGATGGCTCACACACATCCTTGGTTTCTCTGACCCATGTGGGAGGCCTGGGAAGAGTTACTGGCCTTTGCCTTTGGGCCTGATTCAGCCCTGGCTGTTGAGGGTAATAGAGAACTGAAACAGTGGATGGGAACTCTTTCTCTATGCTTTTCTTTTTTTTTTTTTTAAGGATTTATTTTATTTTAATTACAAAGTCAGATATACAAAGAAGAGGAGAGATAGAGAGGAAATGGAGCTGCCAGGATTAGAACCAGGGATCTTATGGGATCCCGGTGCATTCAAGGCGAGGCCCTTAGCCGCTAGGCCATGCCGCCAGGCCCTCTCTAAGCGTTTCAAGTAAGAAATTAAAATAAGGGCCCAGCATGGTAGCTTAGTGGCTAAAGTCCTTGCCTTGAACGTGCTGGAATTCCATATGCATGCCAGTTCTGATTCTGGCGGCCCTGCTTCCCATCCAGCTCCCTGCTTGTGGCCTGGGAAAGCAGTTGAGGACAGCCCAAAGCCTTGGGATCCTGCACCCATGTAGGAGACCCAAAAGAAGCACCTGGTTCCTGGCTCCTGGCTTCAGATCAGATTGGCTCAGCTCTGACCATTGTGGCCGTCTGGAAGGAGGATCTTCCTCTCTGTCTCTCCTCCTCTCTTTATCTCACTTTCCAATAAAAATAAATAAATCTTCAAAAAAGTGAAACAAAATGATTTTTACAAGAACTATATTGGAGGATTGGAGGCTGGCACAGTGGCATAGCTATGCATTGCTGGCTTTCCATATCAGTGTCAGTTCAGGTCCCAGCCACCCCACTTCCCATCCAGCTCTCAGTGGAAAAGCAGCAGAAGACGACCCAGGTACTTGGGTCCATGCCACCCATATGGGAGACCTGGAAGGAGCTCTTGGTCCCTCGCTTTGGTCTGGCTTAGCCTTGGTTTTTCCAGTTATCTAGGGAATGAGCCAGCAGATAGAAGAGCTCTCTATTATCTCTGCCTCACAAATACACAGTGAATCTTTTTTTTTTTTTTAAGATTTTTTTTTTTATTATTGGAAAGGCGGATATACAGAGAGGAGAGACAGAGAGGAAGATCTTTTGTCTGATGATTCACTTCCTAAGTGAGCGCAACGGCCGATCCGATGCCGATCCAAAGCCGCCGTCCTCGACTGCTTTCCCGGGCCACAGGCAGGGAGCTGGACGGGAAGCGGGACCGCCGGGTTTAGAACCATATGGGATCCCGGGGCGTGCAAGGTGAGGACCCCAACCACTTGCACCACCGCGCCGGCCCCACAGCGAATCTTAAAGAAAAAGACGTGAATCACTGTCTCCCAGTGACCAACCAAGGAGGAAGGGAGTATCCCATGAGTACAGTGCCAGGGGTTTGTAAAGGGAAGTGCCTTCACCCCTCACCGAGTGGGAAAAGTCCATGTATATGATAAGTGTGACATGGGCTGCACAGTGACAGGTGCAGCCATTGTCAATGGCCTCCCTGGCCAGCTCGGAGCAGCTTGTGCAATCTGCCCTGCTCCCCACTGCGTCCAGGGGTCTGCTGTCCTTCCACTCTTGGGGTTCTGCCCTTCTCCAGCTCTGCTCCACTCCCCACTTAACTACCCCCTTGCCCTCATTCTTATCCAACCCTCTGTCTTGCATTGGGAGAACTGCTGGCACTGCCAAGGAGCCCTCACCTTCATACTGCTGCTGCACTCTGCGCCTCCTTCAGGAGAGAGCAGGAGCAGCTGGCTCCTTCCTATGGCTGAGCTGCCCTGGCTGTGCCCCTTGCTCCTGGTTCCTGTACCGTCTCTTCTAAGCATCTGCTCTTGCCAGAACAAAAGTGATCTGATGAAGACATCAATCAGGGGCAGTAGGTTAAGTCACAGGGTAGGATGTAACATCCCATATTGGAGTTTTAGTTGAGTCATAGCTGGCCCCTTCCTGGGGCCTCCCTGTGTGACCTGTGCTTCTTCACAGCATGGGGCTGGATCCCAGGGTGAGAGGCCAGTGAGTGAGGCTGTGGTTCCTGACATACCTCCACCATGCTCAGTTGGTTGAGGCAGACCAAGATGGGCTCAGGTTCAAGGGGAAGGAATGCAGAAGCCATCCCCCAGTGGGAGGGAGGCGTGTCCACAGCATGGTGGAGTTAGAGAGCTGGGAGGAGACATGTACTGATGCGGCTCCAGGGACTCCCTCAGCCTTTCCTGATGAGCTGAGCACGGGCCTGGGGGCAGTGGGCAGTGTACATGGACAACCGCAAGGCTGGCTGGCACCCACGGAGGGCGGTGTGGGGCCAGTTCTGAACACTCAGCAGCTCTCATCCTCTTTGTGACCTCCTGGTTTAACCTGACCCTAGGTGCAGAGGGACACCCTTTGGCCCCACCAAGTGTAGAGATGTGAGCCCTGGGGTCTCAGGACCCGCATTGTGGACAGGAACAGCCAAGCTAGGCTGGTTAGGTCTGTCCTTTGTACACACACTGTGCAGCTCCTCTAAGCCCACAGTCTACACAGGAGAAACTGAGGCACAGCTTCCGGGAGTCACTCGACATCCCTTAGACCTTGGGCAGCCCCTAGAGCCCAGCAGCAGGGCCAGGGAGGTGGAGGGATGGGGGGAAAAACCATGACATTAGGTCTAGCGTACCAGTCTAAAGACGCTTCTTGGCCCAAAAGTGGAATTCCCACCCTGCATCATTACCCAAGGCTCTTAAAGCACCCTAGCCCCTGCGCCACTGCCTGCCACCCTGGGAAGAATCAATTTGTACCAGACATGGCATTTTATAAAAGTATCCATTTGTTTTTTTTGCTCTGCCCCTCTTTCTCTCTGTAAAAATCTGTCTTTCCAATAACAATAAGTAAATCTTTTAAAAAGTATCCATTGTTAGGGTGAGAGGAAGATGTGGATAACAGATGCCACCTACTGGTTCACTCCTCAAAGGCCCACAGTAATGGGCTGGGCTATGGCCCGGAGCCAGGAACTCAGCCCAAGCCTCCCTCGTCGGCATGGGCGGTAGGCATGCACTCAATTACTTGAGCCATCACCTTTGCCTGCCAGGCCCTGGATTAACAGGAAGCTAGAGTCAGGAGCCTGAAGCATGTAGATAACACCCATCACCGGTGACAGCAGCATCCCATAGCAGGTTGCGTCCTGTCTGCTCCCCTTCTAATCCAGCTCCCTGCTGATGGCCTGGAGGAAGCAGCAGATTGATGGTTCATGTCTCTGGGTCCCTGTCACCCACGTGGAAGACACAGCTGAAATTCCTGGCTTCCACCATGGACAGTCCTGATTTTGAGACTGAGAATCTTTTTCTTTCTTTTCTTTCTTTCTTTTTTTGTTTAAGATTTATTTTTGGGCCTGTCGCAATAGCGTAGTGGTTAAAGTTCTTGCCTTGCATGTCCAGGATCCCATATGGGTGCTGGTTCGTGTCCTGGTGGCCCCGCTTCCCATCCAGCTCCCTGGTTGTGGCCTGGGAAAGCAGTTGTGGACAGCCCAAAGCCTTGGGACCCTGCACCCATGTGGGAGACCTGGAAGAGCTCCTGGCTTCTGGCTTTGGATTGGCTCAGCTCCAGTCATTGCGGCTGCTTGGGGAGTGAACCATCGGATGGGAGATCTTCCTCTCGGTCTCTCTTCCTTTCTGTATATCTGCCTTTCCAATAAAAATAAATAAAATCTTAAAAAATAAAGATTTATTTTTATTGTCAAGTGAAATATACAGAGAGGAGGAGAAACAGAGAAGATCTTCTGACTGCTGATTCATCCCCCAAGTGGCCACAATGGCTGGTACTGCGCCAGTCTGAAGCCAGGAGCCAGGAACTTCCTCAAGGTCTCCCATGTGGGTGCAGGATCCCAAGGCTTTGGGGAGTCCTCAACTGCCTTCCCAGGCCACAAGCAGGGAGCTGAAAGAGAAGCAGGGCTGCTGGGATTATAACCAGCACCCATGTGAGATGCTGGTGCATTCAAGATGAGGAATTTAGCCCAGTAGAGAATCTTTTTCTCTTATTTTCTCCATTTCTCTTTCTGAAGTCTTTTTCTTTAAGATTTGTTTTTTATTTTTATTAGAAAGTCAGATATACAGAGAGAAGGAGAGACAGGAAGATCTTCCATCTGATGATTCACTTCCCAAGTGACTGCAATGGCCGGTGCTGTGCCGATCCAAAGTCAGCAGCCAGGAGCCTCTTCCGGGTCTCCCATGTGGGTGCAGGGTCCCAAGGCTTTGGGCCGTCCTCAACTGCTTTCCCAGGCCACAAGCAGGGAGTGGATGGGAAGTGGAACTGCCGGGATTAGAACCAGTGCCCATATGGGATCCTGGCACGTTCAAGGCGAGGACTTTAGCTGCTGGCCACTGCTCCGGGTCCTGAAGTCTTTTTTAAAAAAGAAAATAAATAAGGCTTGGTGCTGTGGCTTAAATTGCTGATCCTCCATCTCCATGCACACGCATCCCATATGGATGCTGCTTTGTGTTCCACTTGCCATCTAGCCTCCTGCTTGTGGCCTGGGAATGGAGCAGCAGATGGGAGCCCTGCATCCATGTGGTGCATCCCGGGGCTCCTGACCCCTGGCTGGGGATAGGCTCAGCTCTGGCTGTTGCAGCCATTTGGGGAGTGAAGCAGTAATGATGAACGTTGTTTCTGTCTGCTTCTCTCTTAAAGAAAAAGAAGAAGAAGAAGAAAAAAAAAGAGCCAGAGCTGACTCCAGTGTCAGTGTAGGACATGGGCTTACCCCATGGGACGCATCTTCTATGGCTCATTTCCCCTTGTTGTGTGGGCTCCCTGGGGCTAGTACCTGACCGCACACAGGACCTGATGCCTGTACAAGCAGGGGGTGTGCACAGCATGGGACAACCTGTGACCTGTCTTGTACCTGGTTCCATGGGAGTGCGCATGGAGGTGCACTCACGCCTGGACCCATGAATGGGGCCTAAGGGGTGAATTCCCTGAAGGTGGAAGTGGATGGGGCAGGTGAGGAAGTGGAAGAGGATTAGAAAGGGGAGGGGAGAGGAAGGGAACTGAGCAGGAAGAGGTTGCAGGAGTAACACAGGGTGGCCTATCACTAGGCAGAGGGGTGGCTGAGTGCTGGATCTGGCTGGGCCCTGCAATGGTTCAGAGCTGAGGGGAGCAGCAGAAGAGAAGGTGTCAGGACTTCCCCAGAGGCTGTGGAGACAATTCTGGAAGGAAAATCACCCGGGCGAGTCGGCTGGGGAAGTCATTGTCCCCAACCTGTGCCAACACCCATCACGGCCATGCCCTCCCTGAACACTCGCTGCTCTGATATCGCCTAAGAATCTCCTGCATGTCCACCGTGCCCAGCTGGACATGGGGTAGGCCTGGCATCACGGAGGGTCTAGGCATGCAGGGCCGGCTACGTGTCCGGGGCTCCGCGGTGTCAGCATCGCTGGGCATAGGCAGGCCTGGGAGCTGCGAGGTTTGGGTTCCAGCCCGACCCTGCGGTTGACCATGATGGCATCGTTTGCGCCCCCGCAGGCGTCGGTTTTCGCATCTGTACGATGGGAATCCCGGCTCCTGAGGGGCAGGGTGAGGGGGGCGGAGTCCGCGCACGCTCGGAACTGGGCGAGGGGCGAGGGGCGCGGGGTGTGCATGGATGCTGTCTCCGGCTTGCTGGGGTCCGCCCGGCCTCCGCCCGGGGATACCCCATCCCGCCGTCCACGCGACCCCGGCCCAGAAGCAGGGCGCAGGGGTGCCTCGGCCGGAGGGCTTTCTTCTGCCTGCGGGGGAGAAAGCGGCGGCGGAACCGAAGAGCGGGGAGCCGGAGCCGCGGCTGCCCGGGCCCGTCTGACCCTCGAGGGGGTCGCTGTTGCTTCGCAGATCCCTCCTCGCCGCTCCCGCCGCGTCCGCCTTTTGTTCGCGGAGCCGCGCGCCCCCGAGCCGAGGCGGCGGGGCGGGGAGCTGGCGGGGCTGCGCGGGGGGCGGGCCGCGCCGGGCGGAGCCGGGGCCCGGGCCGCAGCCGGACTCGGAGCCCGAGGGAACGAGCGGCGTGCAGGCGGCCGGGGCCCGGGCGCGCTTCGGGGGCGCGGCGAGGCCGAGGGGGCGGGCGCCGGGCGGAGCCGGAGTCGGAGCCGGGGTGCCTGGAGGCGATCTGGCCGCACTCTGCGATCTCAGGGCAGCGCGGACCCCGCGCGGCGAGGGTCGAAGCCGGAGCGCAGTCCCGGAGCTGAGGTGGGCCGAGCGGAGCCGCAGCTTGAGCAGCGGGAGCCGCGCGGAGAGCCTCCCCGGGGACGCCGAGGCCGGGTGGGCCCGAGCCATGCGCGCCGCTCGCTGAGGCCCAGGGAGGCCGAGATGGAGGCGCCGGCGGCCGAGCCCCCAGCCCGGGGCTGCGGCCCCGTGCCCGCTCCAGCCTCTGAGAGGAAGAAGAGCCACCGCGCGCCGTCACCGGCCCGGCCCAAGGACGTGGCCGGCTGGTCGCTGGCCAAGGGCCGCCGCGGCCCAGGCTCCGCTGCCGCCGCCGCCTGCAGCGCCGCATCCTCCGCGCGGCCGGACAAGAAGGGGCGCGCGGTGGCACCCGGGGCACGGGTGGCGGGGCCACGGGTGGCGGGGGTCCGGGCCGGGGTTCGGTCCAAGGGCCGCCCGCGTCCGGGGCCCGGGCCGCGCCCGCCGCCCCCACCACCCAGCCTCACGGACAGTAGCTCTGAGGTGTCGGACTGCGCGTCGGAGGAGGCGCGCTTGCTGGGCCTGGAGCTGGCGCTGAGCAGCGATGCCGAGTCGGCGGCCGGGGGCCCTGCGGGGGCCAGGCCAGGGCAGCAGCCTCAGCCCGCCCTGGCCGCACAGCAGCAGCAGCCCCCGCGGCCGCCCGCGTCCCCCGAGGAGCCGTCGATGGCCGCGTCGTCCGCGGGCAGCAGCCGCTTGCCACTGAGCACCTCGCTCGCCTTCTCCGACCTTACGGAGGAGCTGCTGGACTGCGGCCCCAGCGGCTTCGTGCGGGAGCTGGAGGAGCTGCGCTCGGAGAACGACTATCTCAAGGTGGGGTGTGCGGGGAGGCGCCGGCGGGACAGGGGAACACCCGGAGGTAGCTGGTGGTGGAGATGGGCACCAGGGCCCGGCTCGGGAGGGAAATTTGGGAGAAGTGCCTTGGAGTGCGCGTGGATGCAGGACTTGGCGTGGGGGTTGGCCCTCGGGTACATGGCTCCTCTGATTTTCCAAGGCTTGGGACCCTGCCTTGCTTCCCCAACCCCGCCAGATCTTTCTGGGGGACTCCACCAGCGGGAGGCCCGAAATGGTCCCCATCTCCAGCCAGGGCTTTCCCTGCAGCGGGCCTGTCCCCGCCTGCCTCTCTCAGGGCGGGTCTGGTTTGAAAGATGACATCTGGGAACATCCCCTTGGCTCGAATCCACTTCCGCCCAGTCTAACGGTCCCACAGCCTGGAAGGATGATGTTGTGGGAGAAGCCGGTCAGCGGCAGCTTCCTAAACCCCAGGAGGTTGTCATCTGCCCTCTCTGGGACGAGTCTGCCACTTAGCACGGTGGTGGTGGGGGGAGCTTCCTTGTGTCCCCATGCTGCCAGGGTCGGGAGAGAAGCCACCCACTCGGACATGGTGGGAGAGCTGAGGGCTCCCTCAGAGCTGGACCATTCGGTGGACCCAGCACCTCCTGAATGCCCACTGCTTGGCCTGTAGGCAGCTCTGGGGACGGCCCAATCCTTGGGGGTTGACCTTGGCCTGGAAGTCCGGAAGTTCAGTGGACCATGCTGCCCCTAGCCTGTCCTGGGTTTGCAGTGGCCGGAAGGCCTGTTCCTGTTGGTGGACAGCGTGGTGCCCCTGGCTGCGGGCTGGGCTCCCTGCCCCTTGACCTCTGCCTGCAGCCCAGGCTTGTGCCTCTCCCAGCTGGGTGTGTTTCTTGTTTTCTAGAATGCTGCTAGGTGGGGGGTACTCACTTGTGCCTGTTGCCTTGTTTCCCCGCCCCTGCCCCCCCCTTCACCTCCCTATCCCCGCTCTGTAGCTGGCCTGCATCCAGGGAGTGCTTGGAGACTGGGCCAGGATCCCTTTGAATCAGGGCAATGTGCCCCTCCCCAGGCCAGGCCTCTGTGCCTGCTCTAGGAGGTAGGACGGTGAGTCTTCCCAGAGCCCCCCTTGGCGCTGGCCAGCCGGGATTCCGGCAGCTCCTCTACTCTGCAGAAGCCCAGAGGCTGGGCCTGGAGGTCTCCCAATTTTGTTACTCGGAGTTGCCTCCAGGACCCTCTGCTGGACTTCTAGGAGAGGCCTCAAGCCATGTTTCCCTCAGCTAGGATAGTGGTTCTGTGAGGCTGAACTTGAGCCCAGAGTCTCTGATGGGTCAGGGTTCAGCTAGGAACTTCCCAGTGCTTGGACCAGGCTGAGCCTCAGTTTCCCCCATTCAGTGTGAGAACTTCTAAGCGCTGTAGGGTCTGGTGGTCTCTAGGAGCGTCTGGGCCAGATTGGGGAAGTGCATACCATTTGAGGCCCTCAGTTTTCCCATGTGTGGAGATGGGGTGGTACGTGCCTTCTGACCTGGAGGACTTGGTGAGATGGTGCATGCTTGGTACATGGCGAGCCTCAGGTGGGGGTGGACCCATGGGGATGGACCATGGGGCGCGGTTCTTCCATGCCCAGGCAGCCTGGGCTTTTTTTTTTTCCTTCTGCCACTGTTTATTTGTGGGGTGTACAATGGTGGAACTGTGGGGGAGACTGAGGGACATGTTGTAGTGGGGAGAAGGGCTGCAATGTGCCCCTGTACCTGGCAGAGGCCAGGAGCTGAAGGGTGACCTAGTGCCTGCCAGGAATGGAGCTGTAGAAAGTATTCCAGGCTTCAGCGAGTGAGTTTGAAAACAGTGCCAAGGTCAGAGAGGTGAAGGAGATTGAGTAAGAGCGGGGGTCACCCGTGGGTGCTTGGCTCAGTCCCTTCCCTCCACTGCTCCAGCAGTCCTAGTGCGGGGCGGGCAGTGAGTGTGTGTACAGCTCTTGTTGGGTTGTCTGTCCCTGTAGCCACCCTGCTCCTGAGGGCCAGGACAGGTCCTGCAAGGAGTCACCCACCTGCCAGCCACTGGGGGCACTGGGGACTGTCAACCCTGGGGATCCTTAGGAGGGGAGGGAGGATGGTGCAAATGCTGGAACTCACGTGAATGAGGCTAGCTTGCCCAGACAGGACGGGGTGGGCAGCATCTCTGAGTGGTCCGCATTGCTGGTTTCGGTCACAGTGACCCAGTGGGGCTCATGGGGAGACTTGTGCAGTAGCCTCAGTCCTTGACGTTGGGTCCTGCTAGTCCAGGGAACTTGCTGGTTCTAGGTTCTAGCGTGCAGGTCTGATTGCAAAGCAATCAGCTGGAGTTCACCTTCAGCCCCTGATGGTCTGAGATCTCCCAGCTCCCCATCACCCATCACTGGGTGGTGAGGATGTATAAGCACAGCTGGGAGCCCACCCAGTGTGCATGGGAGACTCTGGGAGATGAGGCCCCACCTCTTATTACCATTTACTGTGTGGCCATAGGCAACTTATTTGGTCTGTGTGCTGTTTCTATCCCATCAATGGAAGCTGCCTGGACAATCTCATAGAGTTGTTGGGATCGATCAAGGGGGCCTGGATGGGCAGGGGGACTTTTCAAACAGTGGAATCCTGCGTCTCCTGGGGCTTTGTTGTTATTCTTAGCCAATGAGCAGACAGGATGTCTGCGTCTTCCTTCTCAGAGGAACTCTGGGGGGGGGGGGGAGGGGAGGGGAAGGGGAACAGGGCTGGAGGGTGAATCCAGGCGGAGTTGGTCAGGCAGGACAAGCTTCTGTTCCCTGAGGTTCCGGATGTCAGTGTCGGAAGTGCAGCCAGTCTCAATGTCAGCTCGGAAGGCCCAAGGAAGCCACCCTTGTACAGATGAGTGTGTGGAGGCTCCAGGGTGTGCAGCTGAGACTCCAGCCCCGGGTCCTGCTCTTTGTTCAGTGTGACCAGAGCCTGGAGCTTCTGGTTGTTTGTGGTGGGTCTGGTCCAGACTGCCAGAGGTTGAGACAGATGGGGTATGGGGTGGTACATAGGAGGCAGAGCCTGCAAGTGGAGATGTGGGGAGTGTCCGTGTGCAGTTGTTACCCTGTTCAAGGTGGAGGTGCAGTGCCAGCACTCAGTGAATGCCAGTGCCCACCCAGTCACCTCCTCCTGCCCCCTGCTCCCCGAGGCCTGTGTTTGTTCAATGCCTTTGATGGTCTTAATTTTTTTTCCAAATTTGATCTCTTTATTACTTGCTTGAAAGGCCAAGTGACAAGAGACATCTCCCATCTGCTGGTTCATTTCCCAGATGTCCTCGATGGTCAGGGCTGAAGTGAAGGAGCCAGGAACTCAATCCGGGACTCTGACTTGTGTAACAGGGGCCTGATGACCTGAGCCTTCACCACAGCCTCAGGTGGGAGGCTGGAGTCTGGTGTCAGCCCAGGGCTGGGACTCAAACCCAGGTGCTCTGATGCAAGAGGCGGACATCTTAACCTCTTGGCTAAATGTCCACACCTTCGTGTCTTGTGGGTGTCTTCTGGGTACCAGTCACTGCCTGGGACTGACCCAGTGATGTCACAGTAAACTACCGAATGCAGCTGTAACCTTCCTGGCTCCTGGGAATGTAGTGGAAGGCACTAGCTTGGTCCTGGAGAGGGGAGAGGACCTATCATTATGGCTGGCAGAGCAGCTGGCTTGTCCCTGAGGCTGCTCTGAGAACCGGGTCTTTAAGAATCCATCTTGCTCTTGCCAGATGGAAAATGAGATGGAAAATGTGAGGCTGAGGCTTGGAGGGGGGAGGGGGCACTCCCAGGGCTGCCTGCATTCCTTGCAGAGGTGCTGAGCCTGTGTCCCTAGGCACTGTCTTGCTCGCACAGACTTGTACACTTGTTTGCATGTTCACAATTGAGAACACATGCACACATAGGCTCTCTGTTGCAGCCTCTGGCACACCCACAGGTGCTTGTAGAAGCCTACCTGCACATCATTTAGCATGTAGCTTACCCTCCCAGAGTCAGAAGGCGAGGATCTATGGACCCAGACACGCTTGTGCTGGCCTCCATGCACATGCATGGTTCTGCCTTGACCCACTGGCATAACTGCCAGCTGGAGCTCACAGGCCCTTCCCGGAGATGCCATGAGGGCAGCCATACCCAGGTGTGACCCACAGTCACGGACGCAGGCAGAGAACACATGCATGTCAGGCAGGTAGCATTGACCTTCAACATCCAGAGAGACAGCAGGGCATCTAGGCACGTGCACACCCACAGCCTGGTGGTGCCATTTCGCCCCTTCATGAAGGCAAGGGAAACCCCAGGCAGTGTCTCCCTGAGCTAGTGTGTACAAACTCCTACTGTTCTCAGTGCCTCCATGGGGTTTCCAGCCACAATGCTGCTGGGCACAGGGAGCCACGTGGCCAGGACCTTGGGTTTCCATCGTGGCTAGGAGTGCTAGGAGCCTGCTGGGGCCGGGGTGAGGGGGTGCGTGGATGCAGCTGGCAAGTCTCCAACAGAAGTTGCACAGCAGTCCCTCCCCCCGTCCATGATGCCCAGCACTTGGGCCTGGGCCCAGTGGACCTCAAACCGCCCTGGGCAACTCCCTGCCCTCCCTGTGGAATTTCCTGTCGCCCTGCTCCTTCTCCTCCTCCTTGTGGGGGCTGTGGAGAGCACCCAGTAGCGGCGGGGGGCCTTGAAGGGGCCCAGAGGCCGTGTGGGCACTTGGGAGGGGCTTGGCCAGCCTTGCGGAGGAGGAGGCTTTCAGTCAGCCTTGAGTTCGTCTTTGTGCCCAGCTCCTAGCACACAGCCTGCCACATTGTAGAGGCTTGATAAGGATGAGCTGGTGACTGAATGAAAGGTCCAGTCAGGACTGGCAGAGTAGGGGGAGGGCTGCAGGCTTGAAACCAGAGCTGGAGGGTGGCAGTGGGGGAGAGCTTGGGGAGGGATGAGGAAGGGGTATGAATGCCCTGTGGGCACTGGCTGGGAGGGGCTGGGTTGCCTTACAGCAGGGCTGAGGGCTGCCCCTTGTCCCTGTGTCTGTAGCACT